TCCCTCCTTTACTGCCTTTTTGTTTGAACAATTATTTTCTAATGTGCCATTTTACTTCTTCTGTTAATTGATTTTTGTAAAAGTTATTTTCTTACTGTTTGCTAGAGTTTTTAGTATGCATCTCATCACATTCTTCTTCAGATTAATGCTGACCTACCTCTGGTAAAATGTAACAGATTACTATTTCTTGTAATGCAGACCAACTAGCAACGAATTCTGTGTTTTCATTTGTCTGTGGCTGTCCTTTTTTCACTTTTATTTTTCAAGAGAGTTTTAAGACTCTTCAGATGAGTAAAGAAATTTGACCACTCTGTGCCGCCCTCACTACAGCTGTCAGTACTTCCTGTGTTTGCAGGCATCCTCATGATGGGGTGTGCTTCTGGGAGTGGAGCCCCCTCAACACCCCTCCTTCCTCTGCCTTCTCTCAGAGCAGGGTTTCTCAGTCTCAGTACTGTTAACATTCTGGGCTGGGTAATTCTTTTTGTCAGGGCTGTCCTTTGTATTAGAGGATGTTTAGCAGCGTCCCTGGCCACTACCCACCATGTGCCAGTAGCTGCCCCCTTTCTCAGTTTTGAGAACCGAAAATGTCTCCAGGCATTCCCAGTGTCCCACAAGGAGGCAGAATCACCACCAGTCGAGAAACACTGTGTTCTATAGAAGGTTCCTTTTCCTGTCATGTTTCACCCATCTCATTGCTGCTCTCTTGTCTGTCCTGTTGCTTCTCACCTGGGTCCTCTGTCCCTTCCACAGAACTCTGACTCGATAGTGGCCTGAGGATGGAGGCAGTTGCCCTTTTCTTCTTCTTCTTTTTTTTTTTTTAAGTTTTTTTTTAACTTAAGTTTTAAGTTTCAGAGAGAGAGTTTAGTGATTCATCAGTTGCATACAACACCCAGTGCTCATTACTTCAATTGCACTCCTTAATGCCCATCACCCGATTACCCCATCCCCCCACTCACCATGCCCTTTTCTTTTTTTAAACATTCTTGAGTACCCTATTCGTCAGGTATTAGCAGAGGGCCATGTTTTTATAAAGCGTGCTTCTCAAAGGTACAGGTGCTATAAAACAGATAATGTATAAAAGTTCAGGAATAGTCGAGATTATCTATTATTTATTGTTAATCTTTGTTTTCTGAAATAGAGAATTTTCATGTGTATTACTTTAAACTATTACTTTAAACTTTTCGTGTAGGATCTTTTTGATACACTGGAACAGTTTAGCTTCAGAATGTTGACTTAGATGATGAAGTGTGTCCCATATCAGACAATTAATAAGTTGGTGGGACGGAGGTTAGTTTGAGGTCTTCTGTGACCAAGGTAAATGTCCTTTGAGTTTTAGATTCTAAGAGAAAAAGTATATCCTTCATAGCACCATTGAGATGAGGTAAAAGCATTCTCCATGGTAGGAGTCTTGAGGCACCATGGGGACATCTGTGCTTGTCACCTCAAAAAAGAATGGTGCGTAGTTTTCACCAATGAACGGTTAGCTAGATTTGCCCTTTTGTACTTGACTACTGAATTGGGTGGTAGAGATTTTGGCTCCTAATTGTTCATAATTAATTTTTTTGCTGCTGTTTAGCAACTGTGGCATTCCTAGTAGAGATTATCATTCTAATAGTTCTTCTAAAATGTTCCTTGTGGCCAGTTGAATTACTTTTGGAATGATGGAGTTAGAGATGCAGTTGTGTGTGTGTGTGTTTAAGAGAGCTTTTTCTCTTTGAAAACTTTGTTTTTAAAATATTATCGGGGTGCTTGGGTGTCTCAGTCGTTAAGCATCTGCCTTCGGCTCAGGTCATGGTCCCGGGGTCCTGGGATTGAGCCCCGCATTGGACTCCCTGCTCCGTGGGAGCCTGCTTCTCCTTCTCCCACTCCCTCTGCTTGTGTTCCCTCTCTCGCTGTCTCTCTCTGTCAAATAAATAAATAAAATCTTTTAAAAAAAATATATTATCATTTTCGGGGCACCTGGGTGACTCTGCCTTCGGCTAAGCGTTAAGTGTCTGCCTTCAGCTAAGGTCATGATCCCAGGTCCTGGGATTGAGCCCTGTGTTGGGCTCCCTGCTCAGTGGGGAGTCTTGCTTCTCCCTCTCCTTCTGCCCCTCCCCCCCCGCTTGTGCTCGTACTCTCTCTCTCAAATAAAATCTTTAAAAAAATACTATCATTTTCAAACATTTTTAAAAAGATTGTTTGCCACAAAGATGTATATAATTCCATTAGTCAAGGAGTTAAGGTTTACCTTTGTTTCTGCCTGAGCTTGCTTTGCAGGGGACCAAAATCCTGTGCAGTATTTTCCCCATCCTTAGTGGTAGTTCCTTAGGTTCCAGGTGGCTCTACGGAACCACTTAGTCCTTTCAAAGAAATGATCCATTGGAGAAATATTAGTGTATAGAAAGGAATTAAGTTTGGTCAGATAACTTTTGAACCTTTACCTCCTCGACTGTGACAGGCCATTGGTTTTTAAATCCAGAAGTTAGTCTTCTTTTTAACCTACTGAAATGTTACTTTCTTTCCTGCATGGTGGCTCTGACCACACAACCACCCTTTTTATAAATCTGATCACTTACCCTTATTATAAATATGTGCCAATCAATTATTTTGTTTGTACTGTTTTGCAAAGCATGGGGCTTGGTATTAAAGGTAGAAAAAGATAAGGCAAGCCTGTTTATAATCACTTGCAAAGTATACTGCATACCCACTCCACAAAATAACTCGATAGAGCATATTTCAGAGATGTAAGCTCTTAGTATAAGAAATGTATGGGGTTTTTTTGTTTGTTTTGTTTTACTTTTGCTTCTGCTGTCTAGGCCAGTCTGAATTTTTTTTGCACCTTTTCCTTCACGTATTAATCACATGACTTCTAGCATACCGTTTCACTGCTTTGATTTAATTTTATTCTTTGTTGTTTTTCAGTAGAGTGAACTTCTATTTTCTAAAATCCCAAAGTCTGGAAAATTTAAGTAATCAAAATTATTTGTGCTTTCGTAAGAGTCACATTTTATGTTCGCAAGTTAATAACAGGGATAGATCTAAAATAATCTCTAGGCTGTGGCATGATGTCATTATTAAATTCATCATTGTAACCCTCTATCTTTTATGTATGTAGTATTTTAAGTTGATAGGTTTTTTTTTTTAATTTTTTTTTTTTTTATTCTTATAAGTTGATAGTTTTCTATTGCAGGGAACAGCAAACTTTTTCTTAAAGGACCTGATAAGAAACATTTCTAGCTTATAGGTGTTATGGTCTCTGTTACAGCGACTCATCTCTGCTGTTTAGAGGGAAAGAAGTCATAGACAATGCATAGACCATTCAGCGTGTATATAAAGAAATACTGTGTCAAGTTAACTTTTAATTTGGTCAGAGTACACTAGGCAGGTGAAAATACTTGTTGCCTAAAACAGTAGGGGAAGTATATCTTGTAAATAAGGTTTATATTGAAGTTTTTAGACTAATACAGTTTTACTTCACGATAGCGAGTATTATGTGAATTAAAATATTATCTTGAAATTGTCACCCAGCTTTTCAGAGAATAGCCTAATTCAGTGATAGTCCCTGGCTTCCAGTTGCTTTATACGTTTTGTGGGTGACGTGCCATCCCCTAGCACTGAGATAGTCCAGTTGGCCTAGTTCCTTTTAATCCGCTTACTAGTTTCAATTCCTCGTTTAGTTTTGTTCCTGGAGTATTTGCATAGCAGTGTGACAGAATACACTCAGGTTTATCAGTTTGTAAGTGTTAGTGATGTTTTTAGATTTCTACTCCAGGGGTCTTTTTGTCTGCTTCTCCAAAGGTGGCTGTTTCATGTGTTTACCGGGTGTTACTGAGGCTCAGGTGTTGATCCACTTCCCAGTACGTGATGACATGAGTGGCCATCGTCCGTGCAGAAACAGCAGCAGACGCTGTTGACGCTGTGGTGCTCTGTGGGGTGCTGGCATCTGTGCTCTGACTTGCCGTCGCGACGCAGAGGGCAGATGCTCTTGCATCTTCCAGACTCTGGGTAGTGTTCTGTCTTCTGGGGCATGACTGGTCTCAGCACAGGAGGGCCGCCTGGTTGTCAGAGAGCAGGCCGGGAAGCTTACGGTTCTCACCTCCTTCCTCGGCCTGCTCTCCCCAGCTGAGCATCAGTCTGCACACAGGGTCCAGCTGGTTCTCCAGGTGCTTCCCCGGCCTTTTAGTGGCAGGACAATGCACAGTTTTTTCAGTCCTCATAGAAGAAGTTTCCTTCAATTTTTTTTTTGTTTTTTGAAAGAAATCTGTTCACAGTGACCTATTCTGGACTTCTGCCATAGGTCTTTTAGTGAGTCAGAGATGATTGAATTAAGATTTAAACATGAGAATAACTTTTATCTGTAGAATTGAGGCAGAATTACTACGGTGACAGGTTTTTAAATTTATTAGTAAAATTTATGTCCCCAAGTTCCAATACTGTTAAATAGGTATCACTTGTATTGCTGTTTTTATTTGGGGGCCATAGTCTTGTTGATGGTCATTATAATCCATTTCTTCATCTGGGAACAGCGAAGATTATTGATGGAAATTGTGTAACAAACTTTCACCTTTACGCGGTGACAGCTGTAATATTGCCACTAGTTATTCTCTTACCTCTGAATTTGTTTTCCCAAGAAATTGCAGCTTATTAAAGATAGCTTATTAATTTTTCTGCAGAATGTTTCATGACAATAACTTATCTATGCTTATATACTCATTGCATATTATACTGAAATGCTCGTGAACTCTAGACCCAGTCTGAGCATTGGAAACCTAATGTTATCACATTGTAGACAGATGGGATTGAGTCAGTTGGTTTTCCCTTCCCTTTTTGTTTTCCCCTCTCTTGTGTCCATGAGCTAGCGACTGGTAAAATTTACGTTTCCTTATAGGGAAGAGACTTTTTTTTCCCCCTCAGATTTGTTTTTTTCCATTTAGTTCATTGAAATTTTAGTTTGAAAATGCTTTTTTTCTCCCTTCCTGGTTGCTTCTGTAACAAATGCTGTTTTGTTTTATTTCCAGGTTTGAATTCTGGGAAGATTTTGAAGAGGACCACGGGAAAGGGAGGGAGAATGGCTACCAGAGTCTTCATAAGGTGCTGGAGCCCTTCCTCCTCCGGAGGGTTAAAAAGGACGTGGAGAAATCCCTTCCTGCCAAAGTGGAACAGATCCTCAGGGTGGAGATGTCGGCTCTGCAGAAGCAGTATTACAAGTAAGCTACGGGCTGGGTCGCGCCACAGTAGGATTAGCATCTGTTAGGATTAGCAAGGAAGCCATGAGGTACACAGTTGACAAACTGCTTTTTTCAGTGATGCCTCAACACAGATGTGAGTAGCAGTATATTCATGGTTAGAAAGAGGAAGTTTTATTGTTCTTGCTCTTTTATTTGGGTGAGAATTTGCAGAGCACTTTAGCACTTTTCATTCTGTAGGTGGTCTGAAGTAATGTTAGTTAGTGCTAATCCCCCTCCAACAAACAGTCATATTTCACTCATTCATCTGTTTCTTCTCTGCTATTCACTGAATCATGTATTAAGATTCTGCAGTGTGGTAGGCATCCTGCTACATACTGGGAGTATGAAGATGAGTGGAATGTGTTCTTGCCAGAAGTGTTGCTTAAGAGGGAAGACAGAGTAGAGACAAGGGGTCAGTACAGTGTTGTTTAATAACCAAGGCATATGCAGGGCACTGTGGGAATTGAGAAGGAAAAGTGCTCAGCTCTGTGCTACAAGGGCGAGACGCTCTCCTTTTTGGCACTCCACGTGGCCTGGGCAGGTTGTGGGCTTGGTTAGGTTATGATAGGCAGAAAGCTGGGTTTGGGACAGGGGGTGGTATAGAATGTGCTTTCGTTTTTTTTCTCTTCTTTCTTTTTTTTTTAGATTCTATTTATTTATTTGTGTGAGAGAGAGAGCACGAGCGGCAGGCAGAGGGAGAAGCAGGCTCCCTGCTGAGCAAGGAGCCCAATGCAGCACTTGATCCCAGGACCCCGGGATCATGACTGAGCTGTAGGCAGACGCTTAACAGACTGAGCTACCCAGGCGCCCTGCCTCTATTATTTTTTAAACTGAAATATATTTGACATATAATGTGTAAATTTAAGATGTACAACACGTTACTTTGATACATTTATATGTAATGAGATGGTTGCCATTGTAGCGATAGTTAAGCACCTCTATCACATGACATAATGACCCTTTCTTTTTAATGGTTGGAACGTTTGAGTTCCATCTCTTAGCAGATACTGTTATCTGTATTCACTATGCTGTGCATTAGATCTCTAGGGATTATTTACTAATTGCAGGTTCGTACCCTTAAACAACATCTGTCCCATTCCCCCATTTCTAGGTAACCACTATTTTACATTCTGTTTTTCTGAGTTTGGCTTTTTCGGATTCCGCATATTAACGACATTATACGGTACTTGTTTTTCTCTGTCTGACTTATCTCACTTAGCATAATATGCTTAAGGTCCATTCGTGTTGGCGTTTTTACATCTTTAAAAGAAATAATAGGTTATATTGACCCTTCTTCAAAGGTTTTGACCAGTGAGATTTGTTTTGGTATGATTTTAAATTCATCGATAAGCATATTCATGTTTTATTCTGTGACAGTTATTCTTTTATACTCCTGGTCTCATGGCTCCATTTTTAGCCAGGAGGAGCTCAGTCAAGTTAGTTTGGAGTCCTTTTGACATAATCCTAGTTGTAGCTCAGCGCTTTTTGCTTTCTGGAATAAAATGTTCACATTCATCTTGTTTCCTGCTCCACAGCGGGAGTCAGCCATATATCCAACAAGCTCTGTGTACTGTTTTATTGGAAAGTGGCATTTGGAGACCTCAGAATGGGCACGGGAGCTGTGACTGCAGCCGCACTGGACGTCGTTGACAGGCTTTTTCAGTGGACAGAATTAGGAAATTTGTTTGTTTTTATTTTTATTTGTTTTAGGAAATTTGTTTTTAAAGATAAGAAATACATCATGATTTTTTTAACTGAGAGATTTTATTTGACCTTAATGGTCTTACACCCATACCAGAAATTCCACTTCTTAACGGCACCAACTTGTTTAACACCACACACACAGTCTTAGTAGTAATAGTGCCTGGATTACCATCAGCAATGTGAATAACAAAAACAGAGGAAGGGCAAAAATTTTTAATGGTATTTTTTTGTTTTTAAAGGTATATTCCATTAGAAATGGATGAGTCTTAAAGTATTTTGAGATAGTTTTTCTTACTTATGGTTAGGCTGCCAGCTAGATACAATGGGTTATTTATTTCATTTAGTTTTTTTTTTTTTTTAAAGTTGGCTTTGCTTAATTTTGCTTCATAATTATTTGTAATATTTGTAGAGTTCCAAAGGCAAAGCTACAGAGCCTGCTGTGTTCAAAGATACCTAGCTTATTTCCTTGTCCCCTTCATTCTAGTCCCTCTTTACCCGAGGTAATAATAATTACGAGTTTTAAAATTCTTAATGTCTACCTTTCCTGTATTTTTTAATTTTTAAAACACAAGCAAATGCATTTTAACTTTTTTTGCTGTCTCCCTCCTTCCTACATCGACAGCATACCGTATACATTTTTCTGTACCTTACATTTTTGACTTAATGATTGAAAAACACTCCACAGTAGATTATAAAGCTATTCCTCATTTCTTTTTACAACTGTGTAGTATTCCATTGTGGATCTGTAGCATAGTTTATTCAGCGCAGCCCCCTAGTGGTGGACATTTAGATTGTTTCACAATTTTACTTTACTCTTCTTAGAAATAGGGCTTCAGTGAAAATCCTTGAGCATTCTACTTTGAGGTAGAGTCCTGAAAGTGGGATTGCTAACAGTGTAAAGAAATTTCATTGCTCAGGAAAAAAAGTACTTTTAGGGGCGCCTGGGTGGCTCAGTCGTTAAGCGTCCTGCTTCTCCCTCTCCCACTCCCCCTGCTTGTGTTCCCTCTCTCGCTGTGTCTGTCTCTGTCAAATAAATAAAATCTTTAAAAAAAAGAGAGAGAAAAGTACTTTTAATATTTTATAGTGTATGGTTAAAGCTTACCTGTGGATATACATATATATGTCTCCTTCCCTTTTTTAAAATTTGGATATAAAACACAGCTACCAGGAGCATTTTATCGTGTAAAATGCCCTTTCACAACAATTTGTAAATGGGTACATAGCTTCCATCTGATCGTAATCCTAATTTAACTAGTCTCCTCCTGTTAGATCGCTTTCTTCCGTTTGTATGTTGTGAGAAAGAGTGCTTCAGTAACCGTCCTTATTTGACACGCGTGCGTGTGTGTGTATATATGTGTTTCACTGTTGTTATTTCCTTTCAGTTTTCTGTGCTCAGGTCGAAATGCCCAATAGAGCAGTGTTTACCCGGTGGTTAACATTCTGAATCAGACCAAAGATGTGAGCAGACCCAGACAGGTGGCAGGAGGTGCAGAATACCACATCCCTCCATGCCTTCTCAACGGTCTCATGTCTTTTATGTTCTTGTTTTTGTGCTTCCAGTAGCGCTGCTCTCTCTCACAGTCTTCTGAGGTTCTGATTCTCTGTTTCTTCTAATTGAAGAACATCATTATTTTGATTTGCAGATGGATCCTGACCAGGAATTACAAGGCTCTTGCCAAAGGGACAAGAGGCAGCACGTCTGGTTTCCTGAATATTGTGATGGAGTTGAAAAAGTGCTGTAACCACTGCTACCTGATCAAACCCCCCGAGGAGAATGAGCGAGAGAATGGGCAGGAGGTTCTCCTGGTACGTGGCCACCTTGTTTATAATTACGTTCTCAAATCCTCCAGTGTCGGTAGAAGCTCTTTCCTCCTCTGATGACTCTTCAAGGAGCATCAGAAGAAGCTTTGAAAATTGGTGAGGGTAGTTCACTAGGAAAAATACGGGAAGTCTGATGTCACAGATGCGAGGTAAAGAGCATTTCAGGAATTGTCAGCCGGACTGCAGGCGGCTTCACCAAGCTGAAGGAAGATTGTCAAGCTAGGAACTCTTAGCATTTAAGGGCAGATTGAAGTATGGGTTTGAGTGTGATGATTGGAATGTCTTTTCAATCTCTAGTCCCTGATCAGGAGCAGTGGGAAGCTGATTCTATTAGATAAACTGTTGACGAGACTTCGAGAAAGGGGCAACAGAGTCCTTATCTTCTCCCAGATGGTCAGAATGTTGGACATCCTGGCTGAGTACCTGACGATCAAGCACTATCCTTTCCAGGTAAGGATGCTCAGCGATTGGAGTCCCTCTCTGCTTCCCTCCCACCAGGTTGTATGCTTTGCTTGCTAAATTATCCTAATATTAGGAGACAGATTTTCTAGTTGGAAACAAATTGAGACGAAGGTTCCAGGAGGGTCTTTATGTTTACTTCCATACCTTTAAGCTACCCTATAATGAAAGTGGTCATGGGAGGTCATTCTGTTTTTCGGGTTGGGGGGCAGTAAGGAGATGGGTAATAGAGGAAAAGCAGACAAGAGAAAGGGTGTTAGATGATGTCTTCCAGCTCCAACTCTGGGGTAAGAGTAGAGAGGAAGGAGGTGTGGACCTAATTCCAGAAGCCCAAATCCTAGGAAGAAAGGCGATAGTTCTGTGCGTTCACGCCAGGGGATAGCTGACCCTGGCTGTGAGGCTGGGAACTCAGCAGAGCCGTGCACGTGAAGGCTTGCTGGTCCCTGAAGCAGGTGGTGGTGGCCCCCTCTTCTCTGTAGGTTTGTTACTGGGGATTTTCATCTTCACTCAGTTGTTGCCTACAAGATAAGAAGAAAAGATAAGGGGGAAATGAGTTTCTTCAACACAGTATTTTTTTCTGGGTGTTAGACTGTGTGAAATTTCTCTCTGATCTATTTATGGATGTGTATGCTATTTTTCTTGACTTTCGGTATAACATTTTTATAGTGTTTTGATTTTTAAGATTGACTTAATATTTTTTCTTTGGTTGGACTGTTCGACCAACTTACAAATTATCCTGGTATTGAAGAAACTGGGGTCAGTGATTCTCCCTTAAGAAGGCCAAGCTTTAAGCTCAATAACAGATTGTCTTTTAAAAATGCCCTGAAAGTTATTGTCCTATCCAAAATACCTTATGTGGTCTTTCAGCAGCCGTCTTAGAATATGGTTTGATACTGTGGTTATTTTAGGAATAAAAACAAAAACAAAAGAAAAACCAAGCACACTGCAAAAAGACTGTTGTCTCTCAGTGCATCGGATCTCTGTGAGCTTTCAGGTCAAGCTAATCATTTGATGTCAAGTAAAGTAAAAATGCATTGCTTTTCTCTGTAGGGAATATTTGGCTGGAGTCCACTCGGGTCTGTCATGTCTGCTATCTTCTATTAGTGGGAATATTAAAAGGAAGGCATTTGGGTTTTCTCATATCAAATATAGGCTATTAACTGCCATTTAAACATATCTTTGGGTTGAAGCTCTGAGTAGAGTTGGTAGAAAGAAGAAAGGGGGTTCCCTGGTGTGATTTGACTGTTCAGGTGGGCCTGAACAGCAGAGACCTGAGCTGGGGAGAGGTAGGTCCTTCTACAGATATGTCCCCAGCCACTCGCCCATCACTCGGCAGCTGACATCATCTCTTGGGTCAGATTTGCCTTGTGTAAAATGAGGTATTTTGTTCATCTCAAGATGTGATTGTAAGGGGAAGACATGTGAAAATGATTTTAAAGAGTAAGAAATAAGCACTTTATAGGTATAGCATACAGGTAATTCTCAAGTATTTATTTGACATGTGGTTTTCCATGGTGACGTTGTTTGGGACCTAGAACTGACACATAACTCTAATAAAAGAACTAGTAAATGCCAGAGGCTTTCTTAAATATGCATTTTGGTTATTTAAACACTTTGCTCTGATTTCAGAGTGTAATTTTTGGAAAGGCTGGAATATATGATCAACTTAATTCTAATACAATGTTATGGCAGAATGTTTCCAAACAAAATTATGTAAAGATTTTTTGATTTGTGTAGCACTTAATAACTGTGCAACTTGTAGTCATACTAGTTAAGAACGATCATTTTCTGCATGAGCTAATTAGGTGAGCAGTGGTACGGTGACCTAATCTCTTCAGTCCCTACGGATATAGAAGCAAACATCGTTTCTGAGCACAGTGGGGGTTGCCATCTTTCTCATTACAGGTCCTAGCAGTCATTCTGATCAAATGTAAATGCTCTGAGTCAGAAGCTTCTGACCTTGAGTTTGTAATGGGAGAGCTTGGACAAGTAGGATATGCTGCTTAAGCACAGTCCCTTGACAGCATGTTGCCAGTGCGTTCTGGTTATTTTTGCTAAGTGGGTGTTGGAGTGATAAAGGTTGCAAGTCTGGTGTTCTCTTCTGAGTATAGCTGATCGTCCTACCTTATGATTTTCTTGTGGTCTATTTTTACAGCGTCTGGATGGTTCCATCAAGGGAGAAATCCGAAAACAGGCACTGGACCACTTCAATGCAGATGGGTCTGAGGTACACCATGCATGGCTTTATTATTTGGGCAGCGTGGGCTCTCTGTCCAGGGGAAAGCCTTTCTGGCTTAATGTATTTCGTTTCAGAAACAGTTCACAGTTAAGTTCTCCTGCTTTGGGAAGGAAGTGAGAGATCACTAAAATAAAAGATGCCTCTTAATTTTGTTGTTTGTTATTCCAGAAGAGCATATGCATGCTTGTTTATCTGCCCTGGTCTGGATTAGTGACAGAGTAGTTCTAATAGCAACTGCGTGTTCTCTGGTGGCTTCCAGATACCAAATTTCTGGGCCTGGGAGAGCAGCAAGGCAAGAGTCGGGAAGGCTGGCCAGTAGGATTAATTTTGACATGTATGTACGACAGAAGGTTCTCATCTGTATTTTCTTGGTGACTGAGGCTTGAAAAGTACATTGGCCATGGCTCAGATGTGTGGATTGCTGGTACGATCGATACAGCTTAAGTTCTCTTGTCCAGCTTGGATTTGCATTCTAAAGTGATTTTAAGGCACATATAGAAGGGGTGCTTAGGAAAAGTGAGAAACCGTGGTAACATTGTAGTTTGTGTATAGGAAGCTATGAAATGCTGTGGGATGTGAGAGAAGTTGGGGAGATGATGTTCCACGGACATAATGCTGCAGCTCCGTGTGCGGGTGAAGGTTGCAGTGGAGAGAGCCAGAAGAACTAGTGTTTTGGGGAGAACATGAGCGCTTCTGAAGCCTGGGCCACTACTTCGTATAGACAGACCAGACCTCATATTCTGCTTTCTGTAGGGCTTTAAAAACTCTGTGTTACTCCAAAATGGTAACGTCTTCTGCCTCTAGAAATGCATGTGGTCCCAGGTAGACTATAGCATTCTGGCTTCTTTAGCCTAAAATGTTAGTTCTCCTTGCGGAGCTTAGGGTGTGAATCTGGACAGAACCGAGGCTCTGAATAGTTCAGGAGAAAAGGAATTGAATTAACTGAAGACTGCTCACCCTCTAATTCCCGTCCCTTCTTTTTCTCCTCCATTTCCTCCTGTAAAATCATGATAATTCCAGTACCTGCTGTGGGGATTAAATGCAGTGACCAACACCCAGCAAGCACTAGGCTCATTGCCTGGTACATAGTGAGCACTCAGTAAATGCTAGCTAGTTTTATTATTTAGTATTTATTCAAATTGGTTTTGTGTTCCCAATCTTAGTTAAAAAAATAGTATGAATGTTTCATATTGCCCTTTCTCAGAGAAACATTATTAAAGCTGCCTTCTCTTTATAATTCTCAATTCTCCACCCCATGGCTATTTATAGAATACAGGTTCTCTACCATTATTCTGCATATCTGAGCCTTTTTTATTAAGAAAAATTAAATACTTTATCATTGGGGGAAATATTATATGCACAATGAGAAGATTTAGAAGATAGTGAAGAGTACAAAGAAGAAAAATTGCACAGCTCCCCTCCCCATCTCCCATCCCAGAGACAACTTTTGTTGTTCACATCATTCGGGTGTGTTTCCATTCATAATAGATGAAACGGATTATTTATCTGGGATCATTCTGCAAATAGTTTTGTTGTCATTTTTTTATTCAAAATTCTGTGAGCATTTTTCCCATGTCATTAAAGATTTAAAAAAAATTTTAGTTTCTAATGTTTTCTCATGCTTGTAACATTATTTATTTAACCCAATAATTAAACCTAATGACTTACTTCTTGTTGTGTGTTAAGAGTGTACAAGCATTTAAAAAAGGTTTTTGATACACTTTGCTAGATTTCCCAAAGCAGTTTATATTCATATTATTTGTGATGAATATTTCCATCTCACCTTTAGCAGCATTGTGTTTCACTGAGTTTGTTTTCAATTTGATAATAGACACAAATAACATCTTATAAGTCACATTATCTTTGGTAAGAAGTGACAGTGAAGGGGTGCCTGGGTGGCTCAGTCGGTTGAGCATCCGACTCTTGGTTTCAGCTCAGGTCGTGATCTCAGGGTCCTGGGATCGACCCTTCATGTTGGGCTCTGTGCTCAGCATTTCCCTCAGCTCATCCATCTCCCTCTGCCCCCCCCCCACCTAAATAAATCTTAAAAAAAAAAAAAAGGAGTGACAGTGAAAATTATTTATATGATTATTCAGACCCCAGATTTTACTTGATTTAGGTATCTCATTCTCAGGTGTCTACTATTTCTTTGTAGGCTTCTGTAAATTAGAGTGTGATGGCACTTGGTATCTCTACCAAGGATCACAGAGTATATGTGCCTCAGCATTTGTTTAAAGTTCTTCTGAGACCATTCTCTCCATTTTTATTTCTGTGGCAGGATGCTGGTGACTGTAGTTAGAATGTGAAGAGCTTTTCATTGTGTCTGTGTATATTAAATACACCGATTGATCAAAATACAACTCAAAACTACCAGCTTTTGAGTATCATTTGTGTGCCAAAAGGGTGTCAGCCTTTGACATACATAATCAAATGCCCTAAAAATAGAAATCTCTGTGGCTTTCTTTTCTTTGGGTAATTTATTTTCTGCCCTCTGCCCCATATTTCTGAGCTCTCAGATGTAGGCAGGTGTACCATGCCTGCTCAGTCTCTGTCATTGCTGTGGACACCCCGGAATATGTCAGAGCCTGAATCTTTCCCGCACGTGGGTCTTCAGCCACATGTGCTCTGGTTTTCTTTGTGCATGTGCTGTGCTGATCGAGGACCCTGTGCTTCTCAGCAGTCCCAGCACGTGATCTGTTGGTGCAGTGTTGTTGTGTTTCTCACCCATCTAACAATAAAGTATCCTTGCTTATACCAACTACCTTATGTGGTGTAATCTACCTTTACGCAGAGAATGAGTGTGTAGGCAACTTGCTGGAATGATCCCCTTGCTAATTAAGTTTTTCTGGATTTTGTTAATTGCTTGTTAACACTAGTTTTAGCCAGGAGAGAATACTAATTCTTCTGTTCTGGCTGACTTATCGGAATCAGCTTTACTCCTTAGTTCCCTGCACTGACTCTTTCAGCTTAATGAAATGAAAATTCACTCTACCATCAAATCCCTAGCATTCTTGTAGCCTCCATAAAGTTTGTCCATCATATCTCACTTTTCTTCACACCTGCAGGGGTTTCCAGGTATAAGGGCTTATTGGACTGTGAAACTGTTTCTGAGAAGGCCACTGCATAAAGTAGTATATTGCATTGTGTACAGGACTTCTGTTTCCTGCTCTCGACAAGGGCTGGTGGCCTGGGAATCAATCTGGCTTCGGCGGACACAGTTGTCATCTTTGACTCTGACTGGAACCCCCAGAACGACTTGCAGGCACAAGCCCGAGCCCATAGAATTGGTCAGAAGAAGCAGGTCAGTGGAGAGAGACATCTGGACATGGTTTGGGGGAGGCGGTAGAGGGGGTGTGTTATTTAGCCTTTTCAGGCTGTTTGTAAAAGGTATTTTTCCTGTTTTGCTTTCATTTCCCCAAGGATAGATGCCTTTCTGTTAACTAGTACAGAGAAAAGGTGTCTTTGGGGCTAAGATGAACTTAGTAGGGAACTGTTCTCTTTTCCTGTTTGAAAATTATGTCACCAGTGGCTTTCAGGTTTACTCCAAGAGAGAGCGATGATGAATAGATTCAGAACTGGAATGTTTCTCTATTTTAATGTGGATAAGTTGTTAATCTATCATTGTTCAGGGTGTTCTACTTTTATTATACACGTAGCTCTGAGCTACATTGGGGAAATACATGCGTGTTTCCTTCACGTGAGAATCTTAAAGTCTGCTCTAGTATTGGGTAACTCCTAAGTTTCATACTCGGCCAAAGGTTTGGTTTTAGTGAAACTTTCCATCAGTGAAACTGATTATTCTTTAACAAGATTTTTATCATTAGAATAGGCTGAAATAGTTTTTTAGAGGCAGTTTTATTTAAGATTATAACCTGTTACAGTAAAAATATTGGATCTAGTTAAGCTGTCTTTTTGGATGAATGGCTTACAGGCATTTCTGGTAGAAGAGAAAAAGTCTTTTTTATTTCTCCTCTTGGTTTTAGATAGAGGTAGCTTTTTTTTTTTTTTTTTTTTTGGTGATTAGGTATAAACATAACATTTTCTTTTTCTATTTTCTATAGGTAAATATTTACCGCTTGGTTACAAAGGGGACTGTGGAGGAGGAGATCATCGAACGGGCCAAAAAGAAGATGGTATTGGACCATCTGGTGATTCAGCGCATGGATACCACTGGCCGGACGGTTCTGGAAAACAACTCAGGAAGGTCCAAGTAAGTTCCACGTGGAGGAGGTGGTCAGAGCCAAACTGTGATTTTACATCAGCATTTGATAGAATTCATCCTTCTAATAGGATTCTCTATAATTGACGTTACCTATTAATTACCTAGAAGAGGCCAAGCCAAGACCACGAGAAGATGTAATTTTCATTTTATCGGTTTTCCCTGTTTTTTCTTTTTTGCCTGTCGGCCCTGTGCTCATGTGCTCTCCCTCTGTCTTTCTTGCCCTTCTCTCTTGCCTTTTGCTTTTGGCTCTGTGACATATGATGCAGCAGCATGATCACTGTGTGTCCTCCATTAGGCTTTCCTCCCAGCGCAGGGTTGCCTTGAACGTGTCACTATCAGTACTAAGAGTCTGCCAGATGGAGTTGGCAGCTGGTTTCTTATTATTGGTAAAAATGTTTGTGTGGAGAGTGTTACTCTTCCTATTGAAAACAGAAGGGTGTAGAAGGAAAATAGTCAAGTTTCAACTGACTTTATTTAGAAGCACAGCTATTTCTCTGAGTTTACATTTTGACTCAGTTGTTCATTGTCTTCTGTGGCAGTCCTGCAGCTTGCGTCACAGGTGGAAATCAAATGAGCCCTTCCCTAAACAGAATATGTTCAGATAATCTTCCATTCAAGAGTCACCTAAAGGGAAAAAGCTTAGTTCTTTTATTTTAGACCAGAGATGAGAAGGTTGAAAATTCTTGGTGAATGATAACTTCCTGAGTCAAAAGACAAAGAGCAAAGAACTCTCTTCTTTCATGTTGCTAATTAAGTTTCTTGCTTAGTCATGTAATAGATGAGCCATCAGGAAAATAATTGATTTTCTAGTCTTCTGCTGGGTTAGGTTTACCATCACAGACTCATCCTGGGGATAAAAAAAAAAAAAATGAAATCTTTGAGAGATCATTTTTCTTGGCAGAATTTATATTTTCACCAGTAATTTCACCCTTTTATGAAGGGTAGCTATTTTATAGTAGAACTTCATGGTGGTTATTTGACATTCCTGAGAGATTACAACTACATTTTACTTCTACAGCTCAAATCCTTTTAATAAAGAAGAGCTGACAGCTATTTTGAAATTTGGAGCAGAGGATCTCTTCAAAGAACTGGAAGGGGAGGAGTCAGAGCCTCAGGTAATTAACAATGAGGAAAAAACTTTCTTGACAAGTATTTGTGAGAGTCTTAATTTTTCTGGAAGCAGATTTTGAATCTGTTAGAGGCTTTTATAAAGAATAGTAATTATTTGAAAGATATAGTTTGTTTTTGTTTTTTCTTTTATTATTATAGAGCTCAAAGGTCTTATTAAATAGAATAGGAAAGAGAAAAACATTTGAGGATTCTGTCCTTAGTCTTTTTAATTCCAATTGTATTTCATGTAATCTCTGAAGTTCACCTTGTCATTTGTATAAATAATAGTTTGAGACATTAGAGGTACAGGATATAAATCGGAATACTGTAAAGGTAGATGGGATCCCAGGAAGGAGATTTGGTTTATTTGCACCAAGTGTTTTCAGTCCATACTGATCACTTGCCTGTTTACCATATTGTGTTGTTGGTGTCCCTTAGGAAATGGACATAGATGAAATTTTGCGCTTGGCTGAAACCAGAGAGAACGAAGTGTCAACAAGTGCAACAGATGAGCTTCTGTCACAGTTTAAGGTATGGAAATTATTGTGGGAGGGAGTCCTTAGCATTGATTTATTAACTAATAATAACTAATGTCTGTGAGTACTTCTGTGTGCAAGGCGCTCTACTTTTTCCTTTACCTAACTTGACTCCTTTCTTTGTCCTCCGGAGTTCCAGGCGCGTTGTGAGTGTACATTCAGTCTTCCGCATGGAGGTAATGGCTGACGTGGTCTGTCCTGCCCAGAGTCAGTGGACAGAGGAAAAGTCAGCGAAGAGGGAAGAATATGCATCCGTGGGATAGGTGGAGACCCAGATAGTGTGGAGCTCTGGGAAGTGTGGAATGTGTTATGGGAGAGACATTGATAGAATCAGGTGACAAAGAGAGGTCAAATGTATAAAAAACATAAGGTGACAGAAAGCTCTTGATGACTTGGTGATGGTTTTTTTTTTTTTTTAAGTATCTGATAGAAAATTAAATGAGATCAGGACTAAGTGCAGAAGCTGGGCACCAGATGAAGAGGAGGTGGCAGCACTGAGTGTGGAGTTAATTTAAAAGCTCATAAAGAGAACAGCGAAGGTGATTTATGAGGATGGAAGCGTCAAGGCGAGGGTTTTGAAAGACGTTATAATGTCTCCAGGTTGAGGAAAGAGCTTGAGAAAAGGGAGAGATCGAAGGTTCTAAGGAAAGAAGGAAAATTTGATAGTACATTGCCTTAGAAGAGACTGGAAGGGATGTAATAAAAAACGCAGGTGGCGCAGTTGGCCTTCGAAAGAAAAAGGAGAGTGCACTTCAGGGAATAGGAGGGGAGAGAAGAGGTGGGATTCCTTCCTTCGTGACCGTAATTCCCAGTAAATAAGTAGAAATGATTTGGGACAGCCACAGGTGGTGCCAGGAAGGAGGAACTTGGTAAGGAGTGAGCTGTATTTGGAAGGTAAGACTTCACATTGGAGCTGGTCAGCAGGGTCCTCTGATTTTCTCCAGCAAGTACTTGAGGTCAGAGGGACTGATCATTTGGTGGTCCCAAAGTGGAAGATGGGCTTGGGAGACTAAGGAGAGTCAAAGTGGCAAAGGTTTCCCAATCTCATGTGAGAATATGGTTGAAAGAATTGGCATGGGTTCGTTCCATACCGGTTAGAGAAGCAGGAGATACCTGAAGGTTCCAGTGATGGTTAAGTTCAGTAGATTCTGTAGGATTGAGGGAGACATGGTGAGGTGTTTGCATGATATTTTATATTTTAGGCTGAAGAAAATAGTATGAAGGTAGCTTTATGATCCAGTCCATACTATAATTATATCAGATAGTCCTCTAGGTCAATGTACTTTAAATCATGACGTCTTTATTGTCCCCTAAAAATTATTTTCTTCTTTCTTTAATTTATTATGGAAAAATGTAAATACAAACATTGAAAGAATAGGGTATATACCCCCCATACTTACCATGTCATCATCCTAACCATTTTGAATTTGTAGTCGGTCTTCTATGTAACGTCCTCACGCCTCCTACCCTCAGTATTATTTTGAAAAGAATGTGTATTCTGCTGTAGGTGGACACAGTGTTCTACAGATGTTTGTTTGATTCTGGGTTATCTGAGTCTTCCATTTCCTTATTGATCTTGAAGTTGTCTCAGAGGAAGAACACAGAAGGAACTGAATAGACCAGAAAGCTCTAGGATCAGAGTCAGTGTGTTTTGAGGTTAAGGGTAAATTATTACTGTTTCAACTGGACTCCGCTTCTAGGACTATTGCTCCCTTTTATTTTTTATTTTTTTAAAGGATTTTATTTATGTATATTAGAGAGAGAGAGAAAGAACGAGTTGGGGAGGGACAGAGGGAGGAGCAGGCTCCCTGCTGAGCAGGGAGCCGGATTCTGGGCTCCGTCCCAGGACCCTGGGATCCTGACCTGAGCTGAAGGTAGACACTTAGCCTACTGAGCCACCCATTGCTCCCTTTTAAAGAGCAGTAATCCTCATGATAATGTTTTAGTCAGAATATTATGTGATGACTTAGGTATAAAAATTTCTGCATATTAACAGGTTAATCAAAAGTGGTCAGCTGGTGACTTTTGCCTTGCTAAAGCTCTTTTGGCTGTTACATTTTAGCACCTGGTCAGGTGATGTAATTAACAGTAGGAGTCTGCCTCCCTAGGGGCTCTTTTATTTCTGGAGTACTTCAACTGAATTGACTTTGTTTTTTTCCACTAACACTTTCTTTTTTTTCCTTTCTCTCTCTTTTTTTAAACCCTAATTTAACATGTTGGAAACACGCAAAGCTTTTTTTTGAGATAATTTAAGATTATAATTTTCCTAAGTAATCATAACTGATACTTGTATCTCTTACTGTTTGTGTCAAGCCCTGTTACCACCGTAGGATGAATCAGATATTATTTTCTTCACTTATATATAAGGAAACTGAGGCACAGACAGGCTAAGTAGATTTCTTAAGGTTACACATATGTGGAGTTGTGATTATATCCTAGACAGGTGGTCTGGCCTGATTAATGTGGCCCTTAACCATTCTGCACCCTCATTACATCATTTATGTAATTTTCGTCTGGCTGTTTTAAAAGTCAGATCTAAAGTAATTACCGATAGTACTTAATTTAAGAGATTGGTCAAATGATTCATTTTATAAAACAAAAAATGTTAAGTTTTCAGTCTAAGAAATTAACACTTGTCTTTGTCTTGGAATTTAAAAAAATCTGATCGTGAAGATCACGGTATCTGTGGTGGAAGTTAGAATTGTGGCCAAAGTCATAAACTTCTGACTTCACTGTCCATTCCAAATGACTTTGAGGAATGGAGCCTCCAAAAGCTGTTTTGTGCTTGATTGTAGCCTTAAAGACTGGGTGGGAAGGAATAAAAAGGATGTGGAGCCCGTGCCTGGGGCCTGCCCCACCACTGCTCATAGGCCGGCCAGAGCTGGCAGATGTGTCTGTGTAATAACCACAGCTGAGTCTTTGAAATGCATACACTTAGATGGTTTTCCTTCTGGGATATGTATATCTTTTCAGTACAAATTGATGCCAGATACTAAATATTTGGTATGTCATAAATGGAGTGTTCTTTTAGGTTTGTTTGAATTTTTTGCATTTTAAATTCTCATTTTCATTTCTAACATTGTACTTTGGAGTATATGAAATCATTACATACCTTTAGTTTCTGTACTTCTGATAAAAATGAATAAGGTAGGTAGTTGGCTAGTGATTGCTAGGGCTTTGAATTATGCATTGTTTCAAATGAGTGCTATTTAGTAGCAATTTATAATTTGGAACTGTAACTTCATAATGGATTGGTATTAAGTATTCAGCATTTGATAATCTAAGTAAATCTAAATTTTCCAATTAGTATCATATTTATTAGAAAATGTGTAGGATTTAATAAGTCTTTCCGTAAAACTTGTAAGACAGTTTATAACTTTATATCTGTTTCCCTAATTCTCAGTAATATTTCTGATGAACTTGAGGGTTTGGCAAGATGATTTGGGGGGAGGATAAGGGAGAGATTAGCAGAAAATTGATTATCTGATTGTATAATATCACAGGAGTTCTGATATTACGCATAGTGTCTTAGATTAAAAATGCTGGGTAAGTTGATGTTTTAGCAGGCGGTGTTTGGGAAATAGGGACATGTCAGACAATGAGTTGTCCATGTTCCAAGGTTGCCAACTTTGCGACAATGGAAGACGAAGAAGAGCTGGAAGAGCGTCCTCACAAGGACTGGGATGAGATCATTCCGGAGGAGCAAAGGAAAAAAGTTGAGGAGGAAGAGCGTCAGAAGGAGCTGGAAGAAATTTACATGCTGCCTCGAATTCGGAGTTCCACCAAAAAGGTGATCGAGTGAGATGAAAGATAAGAAGGGACCTTCTTCTGTTGTAAAGGCTACGGAAGTGCTAGTTATTTAAGGAAGAGGCTTGGCATTGTTGCCTGGGGATGGGAGGCGGTTACAGCGAAACCAGTGGAGGGAGATGGGAAACTGTGGCGTGCCCCTGCGTACGCCTGTGGGACATTTGATCTTTGTAAATTGGCTCTGGGTGAGGTAGATGGCTGGGATTTGAGTTTGGCAGACATTTGCAGTTTGCTGTTGAGATCAGAACCAATAATCCTAAAGATTTGGTTCTAATTGACAGTGCCTTTGACTTTCAGAGCCAACCTCTTTTTGCCTTTAAGTATTTGTTTGTGGCACTGGTTTAAATACTTACTGTAAGAGATTATATAACTGTAAACAAAGAACATACACTTCACAGCTTATAAAGAACCGTTATAAACATGATCTAATTTGATTTTTGCAACATTAAAGCAGGTAGAGTAAGTTTTTTCACCCAGTTTGTTGGACATAGTAGATTTGTCCAAGACCATAGCAAATCAGTATTAGCTAATAGTAGCTAGTATTGATTGAACACTAATTGTGTGCCAGGCATAGTTGTGCTGTTACACCTACTGACTCACTTAATCGTCATGCAGACCCAAGTAATAGGTAGTTATCCCCATTTTACAAACGGAAAGCAAAGTCACAAAGGGGTAACTTACCTAAGGAAGTAAACACGAACCTACAATTCAAATACTTTTATTCTACTTCATTTGTCATTATGTCGCAGTATGTCTCCGGAAAGGTGACTGTCCCAAGCAGGTCTTCCTTTTACATGACACCTGCCTCCTTATTTTCTTAAAGGAAAATGGACTTTGATACGATGAAAAGTTCCCAAGTATGAAAGAATTAAGATGGGCTGAATTAGTCCTTTTCCCTCTTGCACCTGGCACTTGCTGCAATGTGACTTTGCCTTTTCAGGCTCAGACAAATGACAGTGACTCTGACACTGAGTCTAAGAGGCAGGCGCAGAGATCCTCTGCGTCTGAGAGTGAGACAGATGACTCTGATGATGACAAGAAGCCAAAGCGCAGAGGGCGCCCCCGCAGCGTGCGGAAGGACCTCGTCGAGGGCTTTACCGACGCAGAGATACGCAGGTTGGTGGGGCTCTGCTCTCTGTCTGGGGTGTGTGTGGAGGGTATGCTGTGAGCTGTGGGTCGATGGCATTCCTGACACTGAAGACAGGGCGGGCAGAGGCTGGTACCTGCAAAGAAGGCAGGGGCCAGAGTCCTGCCCCAAGTCTCCAGAAGGTTCTGCCCTCTAGGGTTTTCCTCGCTCGAGCACTCGTCATTTGCTCAGCTCTTCTTGTTTTCTTCCCGTTCTCTGGTTACTCTGAGCATTTTCACAGAGAAAGTCCAGCCAAGGCAAAAGAGACCGTTGGAGGCAGACTTGGGCTGAGCCTTCCTTACTTGTTTTTATTGACGAATAGGAATACATACATGAAAACATACATAGAGACACATGTGTATCTATGTATATAAAAGAAAGAGTATGAATATAAAAAGTGGATAAACCTTGCCTTCATTCCCCGTCTGCCCAGTTCAGTTCCTGTGAGTGTTAGTACTGATACCAGTCTGGTGGTGGTTTGGTTTATTGGTAGTTACACACCCCGCATACTGTTCTGCAGCCTTTTTTCCACCTGTAATTGATTTTAGATATCTATGTCCGTACTTACTGCGCATTTGTTGGTATTTAATTCACACACATTGCCTTCCAACTAAAATTGTTGCTTCCAAGCCATTTTTCCAACCACTTTGCATGATATTTTATATTTTAGGCTGAAGAAAATAGTATGACGGTAGCTTTGTGATCCAGTCCATACTATAATTATATCAGATAGTCCTCTAGGTCAATGTACTTTAAATCATGACGTCTTTATTGTCCCCTAAATATTATTTTCTTCTTTCTTTAATTATGGAAAAGTGTAAATATATACAAACATTGAAAGAATAGGGTATATACCCCCCATACTTACCATGTCATCATCCTAACCATTTTGAATTTGTAGTCAGTCTTCTATGTAACGTCCTCACGCCTCCTACCCTCAGTATTATTTTGAAAAGAATGTGTATTCTGCTGTAGGTGGACACAGTGTTCTACAGATGTTTGTTTGATTCTGGGTTATCTGAGTCTTCCATTTCCTTATTGATCTTCTGCCTGGTGGTTCTAGCCATTATTGAAAATGGGGTGTTGAAGTCTCTACCTGTTATTGTTATATCATCTAGTCCTCCCTCTGCTTTGGTCAGTTTTTGCTTCATGTATTTTAGGGCTCTTGTTTTTAGGTGCATGCATTTTATAGTTTATAGGTCTTCTGATGGATTGGCCCTTTATCCTCATAAAATATCCTTTTTTGTCTCTAGAAATAATTTTTGTCCTAAAGTTCATTTTTAAAAATCTGATATTAATATAGCCACTTCAGCTCTCCTTTGGATATTGTATGCACATTATCTTTTTCACTTTAGTATGCCTTTCTTTGAATCTAGCTTGTATTTCTTAAAATATATAGTTCTATTATTTTTAAAAAATCTGTCAGTCTCTTCCTTTTGATTGGAGTCTTTAATCACATTTACATTTCATGTAATTACTGATAAAATAGAATTTATGTCTGCATTTTGCTCTTTCCTTTGTCTTGTGTCTTTTTTGTTCCTTTACTCCCCCATTACTACCATCTTTTGTGTTATTGTATTTTTTAATATACCATTTTAATTCCCTTGTTTTTCTTTGTGTTTCTTATTATTCTCCTATATAGTTTCTTTTACTATATTCTCCAAGTTACTTTTCTAGTGGTTGCCTTGGAGATTATAATTAGTACCTTAACTTGGAATTGTTTAGTTTGGATTATCATCAACTTAATTCCAGTGGTATATTAAAATTTTACTCCAGTATAACTTCATTCCTCTCCCCTCTTCTGTGTTACTGTCGTCACAGAAGTTATATCTTTACCCTTTATAAGCCTGTCAACACAGTTTTATAATTACTGCTTTATGCAGTTGTTTTTAAAAAATCAGAAGAAAAGACTTACAAACATACATTTATGCTGCCTCTATATTTGCTCAGTTACTCTTAGTGAGGCTCTTACTTCTTTGTGTGGATTTGAGTTACTGTTTGGTGTACTTTGATTTCTGCCTGATGGACTCTTTAGTATTTCTTTTAGGGCAAGTCTGGTAGCAGCAAATTCTTTATTTTTGTTTATTTGGGAATGTCTTAATTTCTTCTTTGTGTTGGAAGTCCAGTTTTTAAGTTCAACTTCTGGAGTTCCTCAGGGACCATTTTCATTGATTGCTTTTTTTTCCCTGCATATGGGCCTTACTTTTTTGTTTTTGTGTTTTCCATAATTTTTTGATGAAAGCTGGACATTGTAAGTAATATAATGTGGCAGGTGTGGAAATCAAATTTCCCTTGACAGCCAGAGTTTGTTGTGTTTGCTGTTTGCTTTTTGTTCATTAAGTAACTTTCTTAAGACTTGAGACTAGTGAACCTAGTCTTCGTCATGTGGTTTCCAGTCTCTGCTCATCTAGCTTAGCCATTAGCTGATGGTTGGACAGAGGTTTCCTTAAGTGCCTTGAGCCAGTAAGTCTGCGAGCCTTCGCTGAAGGGCTCCGTGTGTATGTCGGGGGCATGTTTTACAGCTCTGCCTTCCCTTCAGTTCTTGCTTGCGCAGAGCCCTGGGCCACCTGGAGGTGAGAGATGAACCACCTCTCAGGTGGGTCTTTTCCTCACATAGCCTTGCTCGTGAGCAAGATTTTATAGATTCTCAGGAACATGTCAGCTTTTCAAAGCTCCCTGTGGGCATTCCCATCAGTTTTCCCTTTTCAGGTTTTGGTCATCATGTTCTTACCCCAACCTGGTAATGTTGCCTGAAGCAGCTGTGGTCTTAAACCTTTGCTTCTAATTGTTTCACCAGTGAACTATGGACAGTAGTTTTCACAGAGAGGTCAAGTAAAGCAAGCCTGAGAATGGAGCTTCTTAATGTGTTGTCAGGGCAAATAGCACTGTTCCTGTGGAAAAGAGCTTTAGGGTAGCTCTAGACCTGTTCTGCTGCTGCTTTGGACAACCACTGTAGTTGAAAGGTGTTGGTTTCAAGGCTGTCGTGAAGCATGGAGAGAGGAGCAAGTTAAAATGCCAGAGAGGGGCGCCTGGGTGGCTCAGTCGTTAAGCGTCTGCCTTCGGCTCAGGTCGTGATCCCGGGGTCCTGGGATCGAGCCCCGCATCGGGCTCCCTGCTCGGCGGGAGGCCTGCTTCTCCCTCTCCCACTCCTCCTGCTTGTGTTCCCTCTCTCGCTGTCTCTCTCTCTGTCAAATAAATAAAATCTTAAAAAAAAAAATAAATAAAATGCCAGAGAGCTTTCAGTTCCTACTGAGATCCAGCCGTTTGCTTGAGTAAATGCTCCTTAGATGGTTGCAAGCCTTTGGTTAATTTCGAGTTCTAACAAAGTCCATCTTGACAATATTTTGCCAGTGTTCTTGTTGCTTTTATGGAGCATCAGATTTTCAGAGGTTCTTACTCCACCATTCCAGAAATGCTTCTCCCTTCTAGTATTATTTCAAACTAATTCCCAAATATCTTACTATTTCACACATAAAATATTTCAGTATATATTAAGAAGGAGAAATGTAGAGTTGAGGAATATGCTTCACGTTCACTTTCCCATGTAATACTTCCCTAATCCTTGTGTTCGTGCTGTTCCTTTAGTATTGTTTCTCAGCTAAGGGCCTCCTCATTCCCATCCCCTTTTTCTTTAATTGCTATGTTCTCTGTTTCCATTTATCCCCCCATAGTATCTCACCTTACACTGTTACCTAACCAGATGATTTTAGTAATGTGGCTCATTACGGTGATGACTGATGTAGCGGATGACATGGTTGGCATGTAGTATAAGGTAGAGACTTGTGGTAGGATTGATTGGATTTTTGTTTGGGGACAAGGTTGGTCAGGAGGAGTCAGCAGAGTTTCCAAAATAGTTTTGTCTAAGAAGTTTTAAATCACGTATTTATTTTACTTTGCCTTATTCCCAAAAGTATTGAGGCAGTCTTAAAAATCTTATAGTTGTGTCATTGACCAGAAAATAATAAATACTACGGTAGGGAATCGGTAGTAACGGTAACTGAATAGAGCAGTTAACCATATTGGGGTCTTTTTTTTTTTTTTTTTTAAAGATTTTATTTATTTATTCATGAGAGACAGACAGAAACAGAGGGAGAAGCAGGCTCCCAAGGAGCGGGAAGCCCGATGCGGGACTCGATCCCAGGACTCTGGGATCATGACCTGAGCCGAAGGCAGACGCTTAACCATCTGAGCCACCCAGGCGCCCCATAATGGGGTCTTATCACAGGAGTTGTGGTTGAATCATTTATTACGTGTTGAACTCCATGAACTTGTACCTTTTAAAAAGGGTAATACTAGATTTAGGTCACTGTTCTCTGTTAAAGTCCCTTAACATTTTCTTGATCATTCACTGAGAATAACATTGATCTTTAATTTGACTGCATCTTTAGCACTCATTATTTTAAGTGGACCAGTTTCAAAGACATTCAGCATTCTTTTATTTCGTGGCAGTCACGTGGTTTGGGCTCAGTCTCTTTGGACACAGTGTGTGTGTGGCATATTTCACCACAGGATATGTTTGCAGTAACAGAGCTAAAGTGTCTGTTTTTTAATGTGTTTTATTGATCATGTTCTCAGGTTCATCAAGGCATATAAGAAATTTGGTCTCCCTCTTGAACGGTAAGCTCCTTATCCACCTGTTTTTCATTTTTATTATGTAGTGGCTTTTTTTTTTTGGTACTGTTTTCCACTTAATACTAATGCTGGGAATGTTTTTTTGTCCTGGAAACATTCTTTTACAAATATTTATATATTGTGTTATTGTACATGTCCTTTTGGGGAGGGATGACAAAGATGACCATCTATACAGAGATTTTGCTTGAGGAACATGAAGCAAGTATATGCAAAACTGTAATACAGAGAAATAATTTCCAGAAGAGATGTTCAGATAATTCCATTTGGAAGAATACACCTATTTAGTATTTGCATCCTAGTCCTTATTTAGTAAATTTGTGATTTTATAACTTTCTACTTCTTAGTCGGGTGTCATGAGGATTAAATGCAAGTAACTTTTTAACACCTTGCCAGCAGTAACTACTAAAGGGTTGGCTGTCCTGTCTTAGAAGCATTCAGGAAATGAACTCAGAAGTTGGATTTTAACAAAAGACTATGTCAACTAGTTCAGTACTTTGCTTTGTCCAGAATCAGCAATATGTCGTGTGAATAATAGTACTGACTTGAAGGAAATAGCAGATGCCTTTCTCTTCTTCCTGATAAACTTCTGGAGTGGAGGAAGATTATAGCCTGTGTGTTTGCCTCTCCATTTGGAGAGGAAGCAGTGATGGGTAGCAGTAGTAACAGTGAGGCCAAAGAAGTCAGGTGCACCTTTCCAGGGTTGTTGTTGGCCACCCAGGATGGAATGCTTGCCTGTAAGCCAGTGACCATAAAAAGCACCAGGGTGTGGAAAAGTTCGTCTGGCCCCTTCTGGCAGACTGATTTTTAGACATTAATGTGTTTGCATGCTCCATATGAGATCAGTGAAACATATTGTAGAAGTAAGTGTACTTTGCTTCTAGGAATATTGTAGTGAATGAAAGGAGCAGAGGAGTGCAGACCGTCTTGGCACATTTGCTGCCATCGTCAGGCAACCCATCTAGTTAGTAAGGAAAGCCGACTCCTTTCCGCTGTGTTCTTTGAAATTACTCTGTGGACTATTCCAAAGCACAGTTCTTGATGATGGAAAATGAATGAGTTAGCCCTCAGTCACTGTTGGAGGCCTCTTTTTGGACACTTGGAATGGTCAGTAAAGTTAAGAAGAATGTCTTTGCAGGAGCAAGCTTATATGAGACCAAGTGGTATCTCGTGGGACATTAGAAAAGTGGGAACAGGGCATTAATGTGTCCCCGTATTTGACTTTCCTCAGGCTGGAGTGCATAGCACGCGATGCTGAGCTGGTGGATAAGTCCGTAGCAGATCTGAAACGCCTGGGGGAACTGATTCACAACAGCTGTGTGTCAGCAATGCAGGAGTATGAAGAACAGCTGAAGGAAAATGCCAGCGAGGGTAAGTTCTCCCAAACCCGGCACATGTGGACTGGGAATTGTGCTGCTTAAGGGGCTTTGTTTTTGAAGAACAGACTTCTATCCCATGCATCCCTAATCCTTGAGGTGTGTATTCTGACCTGCCTTTCTGTGAGCTCAGTGTTGTAAGATCATCAGAGAACTCACAAACGAAGTTGATTTGCAGAAGGTGGAGAATGGAGAGTAATGAGCAACGAGAATGGTTTCTTCTGATGTTGCTACAGAAACCTTAGATTGGTTTGAATGACGTAAAGACCCGAGTGGGCAAATTGAGTGGATACATCTGTATTTTGACTGCAAATGAGGACATCAGATCACAAGCATCACTAGTTATCCTGGATATACAAATACGGATTGTGTTAGGCAAACTTAAAGGATTTAGGGAATTAATTGGAATAAATAAAACATTGGGTGAATATTGTAAACATTTTTGTTACAGTGAGATTTTCATGGCACTAGAATTTGTTATAATTGGGCTGGACAGGTTATACCCTCACAGTGGGTAAGTGGTCTGATTGCAGAGGGGGGAATAAACTCTGCCTCAGAGGGTTTGGGTGATTCCTGGCTAATTCCATTCACAAGAAGTGCTTAATGTGGTGTTCACTAATACCAGGAAAGAAGTATTTGTACTTTTGATTTTCTTTTTAATGATATTATTGAAGGTAGTAGAATTTAAAAGTGTCTTAAGTATAGTCAAAACTTTCATTTGTTGTATTTTCCTTTTTTGTAAAAGAAATTGACGTGGTTTGGACAGTGATCCGAATACATGCTTTTATATAGCACTCAGAATACAGCCAAGAGTCAACTTGAAGTTTACCATGTTTTCATTTTTCATTTTAATTGTTGTGAATAAATCACACATTTGCATGGTTCCAGATTGAAAAACTGGTATCCCTATTTCTTTTATCTTTTAGAAATGAGAAAGTGTGTATTACAAAAAATGCAGCAGGCACCGTCTTCTAGAAGCACCTTGCTGTTTCCATCTCAACAATATATTTTGGAGATAGTTCTTTGTAACAGTCGCCTGCCTCCCACATCCCTCTTTTTTTGATGCATGTTCTGGATCTGGCTGATTGCTTCCTCCTGCCATTGCGTAACTCGTTGCCCTTACCTGTATTTGCCATGAACTGGTGTTTAGTGTACTCTGGATCCAGGATGGCATTTCTAATTCAGATTCTGATTATTATTATTATTATTTTTAAGATTTTTCATTGGAGAGAGAGAGTGCGAGCACATGAGCAGGGGGAAGGGGGAGCAGGAGAGGGAGAAGCAGACTCCTGCTGAGCAGGGAGCCTGATGTGAGACTTGATCCCAGGACCCTGAGCTGAAGGCAGACACTTAACCGATAGAGCCCCCAGGCGCCCCTCAGATGGAAGATTATTGATAACTCTTTTCTTAAGTGGAAAATTTTTGTTTCTAACAGTGCTAACATAATTATGTATTTGTCCTCTCCTACATTAGACGAGTTTCTAAACATCAGTGCCTATCTTACTGCTCAAAATAAAGTTTTTTTTTCATCTTTGGAATACATCCCACTAGCTCTGTGCAGTCAAAATACCATGTTTTAAAATTATTAGAAGTACTTTTCTCTGTGTAGTTAGGCCACCAACTTAATAGATAGTACAGTCTTTTTCATTTTCATTTATTTTCAGTTTCTAGGGATTGCTTTTCTCATTTTGACTTAACTTTGAAACACTTGCATGGCCCGAAGTCAAAACTCTGAAACAAGGTACATTTGGAGAACCTTACTTGTCTGCCAGCAACACCCCCCCGCACCACCAAGTCCTGCTTTCTGCTCCTCTCATAGGTCACCATTTCTGTTAATTTCTTAATCTTTTCACTGTTTCTTTCAAAGAATTTCGGTGTGTGTGCCCCTCTTCTGTAGAAGATAGCATACCATTTGTTGTGTTTTGCACCTATGTATTTTCACGTGTGGAGATCACTCCCTATCGTGTAGAAATCCTCTTTCTTTCCTTTTGTAATTGCAGTGTTCCACCACTTAGGTAGATCTTAATTCAGATTTTATTGTTCCTGAATAATGAATATTTGGGTTGTTTTTAGTCTTTGGCTGTTATAAAGACAGCTGCAATGAATTCGTAGTATAATGGATATGCTCTTTTGTATCTCTACCAACATGTCCTCTGGATAGGTTTCTGGAAGTGGGACTGCTAGGTCCTGGGGAAGCATGACTTGGTTGGATTTTACCAAACTTTCCAGCAGTCTGGTACCATAATTTACATTGCCACCAGCAATGGATACTGGTGCTTGTTTACAAGCCTCACAAACAAGAGGGTATTGTCAAATGGTTGTTTTTTTTTTGCCAAACTAATAGGTGAGAAATGGTATCTTGTTTTTCTTCTAATGAGTAAGATTGTGTTTTCTAAGAGCCATTTGTGAACCACCCATTTTCTCTTCTGTCCATTTTCTTAATTTTTAGGATTTCTTTTTCTGATTAAAGTTGCTGGTTTTCTCCTGTAGTTTGTGATTTGTCTTTTTACTTTGCTAATGGCATTTTAAGAAAACTTAGAAGAAATTTTTTAAATGTATCAGTCTTTTACCTTACTGTGTTTAGATTTTGAGTCAGTTAAAAACATTGCCTCTACGCCCAGTATAAAGAGGAATTCACTGTGACTTTCTCCTCTTGTACTTGTGTGATTTCATTTACTTTTTTATCTCTGATCCACTTGGAGTTTTTCCTGGTGTATCCAGTTTTATTTATTTTTCTATATGGTTACTATATATTTCAATGCCATTAAAAATGGTTAGTCTTTTTCCCACTGGCTGATTTTTTTTTTTTTTTTTTTTTTGAAAGACATGCATAATCCTGTTAAGGGACATTTCAGCTGTATAATCTCTTGCTTTAGTATTGTGGTAGTTAATTTTGTATGCACGCCATTTTGCACTGTGCTCTCCCACCAGGCATTGAATTGAGGGTGTCTGTCTGCTTTTGGTCTCATCAACATAATGTTTTCAAATTTTGGAATTTTTCACTGTGATAGGGTAGAAATGGTATGTGTCTATATTTAATTTACATTTCTCTCATCAGGAGTAAGGTCAAGTGTTTTTTAAATGTTTAGGAATCATTTGTTTTTCCTTCTCTGAATTGTCTCTTTACCTTTGCCCGTATTTCTGTTGCAATCCTTTTGCTTTACAGATGAGGAAACTGAGACCCAGAGAGGTCAATAACTAGAAGTGAGAGGGGAAAAGAGAAGGGAGGAAGGGGGACTTTGTGCACATTTGGGAATAAATCCCAGATTTCTGATTTTTAGGGAAGTGCCTTTCTCATTTTCACACATTCTGTTCCAGCTGTCTTCAGAATTGTTGGGAATAGCATTTGCAAGTGAATTCTAGAGGATTACAGGAGAATATCTAAATATTTATGATTATAGTACCGTTTCATCAACTTGAATGTTAAAAAATCTTCTCCCAGGCTCTGAGCCATCTTTCGCCTCACAGACAAGTGTCATTATCTTGTGCCATCATCTTGCCAACATCTGGCTAGAGTTGACTGGGTTTCATTTTTAATTCTAGGATTATTTTAATTTGGTACTAGGGCTAAGGAAATCTTTCCATGACACCTTTTGTTCATTTCAAATGGTATTAACTTGATCTCCTATTTTTTTTTGGTAGAGAAAATCATCTTTAAAACACTTGAGTTTTCTTGAACTCTGTTAATAGGATAGTTAGAAAACAAAAAAAACCTTCAGTATTATTACTAATCCTACAGAATCTTTTTTACTTTCAATTTTAGAACAAAAGTATAAAATAGATAGGAAGATTAAAATAGAATTACAAACACCAGTGGATTAAAAAAAAATCCAAAATCTTAAAAAGCTTAATTGTTTAGAGATCATTTAATGAACGTTGAGAATCTTTTTTGACTTTATGTTATATTTTTGAACTAAAAATAAGTCAGAGATACATATCAAGTGAGTAAGCATTCAGGGTTTGCCGATAATGTTTTCTGTGGAACTCCAGCGAATTCTCACTTAACTGATATGAAATTCGTATCCTTTAGGGAAAGGACCGGGGAAAAAAAGAGGCCCAACAATCAAAATATCGGGGGTTCAGGTTAATGTGAAATCCATTATACAACATGAGGAAGAGTTTGAGATGCTGCATAAATCGATCCCTGTGGACCCTGAAGAAAAAAAAAAGTGAGTCTATTCTGTGCACATGCATGAGTGGTTGTGCTGTAAGAAAGAGTTGAAGTTCTAGTTGTGTGTTATGTAGTGTTTTCATTGTCTTTTGTGTAACGCATCAGGATACTTTGTCCATGTTCATTTGTGTTCATTTCCAAGTTCGAAAGGCCTCTCCTCTCATGTCCTCCTGTTTCTGAAATCCCTTTAGATACTGCTTAACCTGTCGAGTGAAAGCTGCACATTTTGATGTAGAGTGGGGAGTGGAGGATGATTCACGACTCCTGCTGGGAATTTATGAACATGGCTATGGAAACTGGGAGCTAATTAAAACGGATCCAGAGCTTAAGTTAACTGACAAAGTAAGTAAATCTGTGATGCTGGAGATTTCCAGAGATTTGTTACATACAATATTTTTATATCGATAACTTATTTTTAACTATTTTCTGGGGGGTGGGGGATCAAATCGGAAATCAGTACAGTAATACATTCCTGGGATTTCTTTGTTTTGGGGAATATCACCATCTTTAGTGGACTGTGGAACTGTTAGATAAAGATAATAGTCAGGTGAAATTTTGGGGAAATCACAGGAGAAATCTTAAAATTCTAATTCTTATACGTCCAATCTCATTGCAACAAATACCAGGGTAAGATTATTAACTATTAAGGCTTCCTTGGCCTTAAATATTGGCCTCTTGTTTAAAACTGTATTTGAAGCTCTCGTGTTTCAGTTCTCCACACAAAGGAGCCATACCTTGGTATTTTTTGTAATGGAATTAAATACTGGCCGTACTTCTCCCACAGAATCGAGCCTCCCACCCTATCCGTTGTGAATCAGGCTACCGAGTAGTAAGGCCGTGCTCAGAGCTGTAAGCAGGGAAGGCTGACTGGCTCAAATTTTAGTAGGATGCGCTCCATGTTGTGCTCCTGGCAGGGCTTTTCCTGGCACGTCAAACAATGCTCATCCCATGTGTGATGTTCTCAGAGGGTGACAGCACCCCGCCATAAGCGCTGAGACCAAATCCAGTCTGGCCTGAGAGGTCCAGCTGGGGTAGCAGGGACAGACCATGTCCTGGCATAGCTCAGTGCTCTCCGGCAATGCTCTAAGAAGCATTTTCAATCTAAAACGAAGCTTTAACCTAGCTCCAGGGATTCCCTGCTCCTGGAAGGAGGAAATCCACGACGGCTGGGATGCTCTAGCAGATGAAGCCAACAAGCCCCTCCTACCTGAGTTGTTCTACCCTGTTAACAGCACAGGTAGGAGCCAGTGGGAGAGCTGGATTTCTCCATCCCATTTTGTAAAACGAGAACGGCTCATAAGGGATTTTCAGTGACTGGGAGCCATGGACATGAGATAGGATCTGAGGCTTTATCTGTATTTTGGGTGGTTGGGGAGGGAAAGGACTGCTCAGTTCTTTGTTGTCTCTGTGTATCCTGATCCACTAACCGGGACATGGGTGGTGGCGGGTGCTTCTCTTCCTTTCCTGTTGAAGATTCTGCCTGTGGAGACAGATAAAAAGCCTCAGGGGAAGCAGCTGCAGACCCGAGCGGACTACTTGCTGAAGCTGCTCAGGAAGAGTCTGGAGAAGAAGGGGGCCGTGACAGGTGGGGAAGAGGTGAGTGCGGCTGCCAGCCAGGCATCCTTCAGAGGGCCTAGGCTCCGACCCTGCAGAGTTAGGGAGGAAAAGGGCTGCCTGCCCGTTCCAGGCACTGCACAGAATGGTACCTTCCCACAGTCAGGTGTTGCTTTTGAGGTTCCAGTCATGATGGTTTCGTTGGTGATAATAGAAATGTTCATTTGATAATTGGCAACTTTCTTAGATGCCCATTCTCCTCCAGTTTTGCCTCAAAATAGTCCTCACCTCTGCAGGTGCCATTGGTCCAGACATATGTTGCTGTTTCTTTATGCTGCTTCCTCAGTTTTGGAACATAGTTGTGGTTACTGTATGAATACCACCAGGTTTACCTGGTACAGCTGACTCTGGGCTGCTTGTAATGATGGGTCCCAGAGGTAAAGAATGGATAGTTAGAATCTACAGTTCATGCAGAAACTGACCTTCAGTTACGACTGCCTTACTCAGTACAGAATACCAACGGAAGTTGCTAACGAACTCATCTGAACCTTTTCTGCTTTTATTTTCCCAATTTTTCATTTCAAAGTCAGGCCTAGAAAGGTGGGAATCACAGTGAGATGTTATATCTGGTACTAGCAGTCTTTGTTGGGTGCTTGTTCCTAGTGCTCTTAGAGCTCTGCCATTTGCATTAATTTCCCTATATTATAAACAAAATGAATTCTAGGGAAGAAAAATCACCATAATCACATACGTTGTCCTTTTTCATGTAATAGTGTCATAAGTAGTGTCATTCTTCAGATAAACACGCGCATGAATTACACGTTAGGTTCTGGAGGGAAGGATTTAGATCATGTTTATACTTGTTTTAGATTTCTGTGTCATATTAGAGTGGATTGAGAGCATTTTATCCTTTACCTTAATTTTTAGATAAACCATACATCTGGATTTTTTAATGTTACTCTTAAGTCTCATATATTTATTTGTGTCTTTGTGCATAAAAGTACGTGTCCTTCTTTTGAATTCTGTCTTTAGCATGAATTTCGAACACTGGAATCAATAGATTCAAGGATATGGATGCTTTTATGTGGTGTAGGGACATGTACAGGGCCTACATTACTGTTTTCCTTTTTCTCCCCCAGGTAAAATTGGTTGCACTCCTTTGAATTGCCTCTGAATTTTCTCGTTTGAGTTACGTGGCTGTTACTGGTCTGAATAGTCATAACGTTATTTGGTCATGCTTCTTGAAGTTTGTGGTTTTATCATTTTCTCTCCTTTCCAGGCCAAATTAAAGAAGAGGAAGCCTCGAGTAAAGAAGGAAAACAAAGAACCCAGGCTGAAAGATGAGCATGGGGTTGAGTTTTCATCTCCTAGACACTCAGACAATCCGTCGGAAGAGGGAGAAGTAAAGGTATGCGGCTGGATTTCACTTGAGGGTTGTCGTTTAGGCTACATTTATCGTGCCAGCTGGTGTAAAACCATTCAAATGTGTTTGGTTTACATGCAGAGTCAATAAAGTGGAAATAGAATATATATGTCTCTGTTTACCATGTGAGAGCCATTTGTTCATTTAAGCCAGCCGTCACAGATTCATAGGTAATGGAAGTCAGTGAAGGGGGAACCATGCAAGGTGTAATGATAAATGGCCCATGACACCCAGCCTTGTGGTTGAAAAAGGTAGGGAGTGGTGGTGGGGACTGTGGCTCACCAGGGGCCTCATGCCTGTGCAGTTGAGTTCATCGTGGGCCAACAAAACACATCTGTGGGTCAGATTTGGCCCAGGGCTTGCCAGTTTGTGACCTCTCGTTTGAGTAAAGTAAAAAATTGGTAGCATTCAGTGTGTTCTTTCAGTGAGTGATAGCTTTATGGGATTTTATGTCGTTGCCCTTCGAGTGTGATTGTACTTTGAGATTAGCTCCAAGAGGATCAGCAGTGGGGACAGAAACTGCATGAATTGTTGTGCACGCATAAATTCAAAAAGCAGTAGCAACCGTGACAATTATTAGCTGACAGATTTATAATATATCTGGTCCTCATCTGTGAAATGGAGATGATAATGCTTATGGTGGAAGGGTTGCTATGAGAATTAAAGAGAGGATGTGAGTTGCAGAGCATCTGTTTCTACCGGCTTATCTGGTTATTACCAGAGAGCTTAGAATTGTATGGGCAAGTGCTTTAGGGCTGTGTGCTTGAAAACAAGCTTCTAAGTGTAGATGCAAGTATGAACCATTGTGGACAGTGCTCCTCTCTCCAGAAAGTAGACGAGTAGATCTAAAGTTTGTGGCAAAAGCTCATAGTCCTGTTTGTTTTCTAGGATGATGGCTTAGAAAAAAGTCCAATGAAAAAGAAACAGAAGAAGAAAGAGAACAAGGAGAACAAGGAGAAACAAATGAGTTCTAGGAAAGACAAAGAAGGGGACAAGGAAAGGAAGAAGTCAAAAGATAAGAAAGAGAAGGTATCCGTGTCCTTCTGCTTACTGAGATACCCATAGCGTCTGAAATTTCTTCTAGGATTTAGACAGAGAATGGGGCTTGAGCATCCTGAAATAATCGTCTCTTTAAGGGTACATCCGAGAAGGAAGGATGGGGCTGTCAGAGGGATGCCTGCACCTCTTCTTACAGAGAGGGGAACATGCAGTTGTGGGTTTTTTTTTTTTTTTTTAAATATAGAAGGTCTTTAGTTGATCTCTTACTACGTGTTTCAGAGGGGAAATTTTGATGAGATAGGACAGGTGAGAGAAAGCTGCATTTACAGGTAATGATGGGAAATATGTCCATCCTCATATTCATGGTAGAAGAGTACAGTCCATAGATGAATTTGAATATTTGAAAAGTTTAGGAGTCAACCCAAATATATCAAGAGAAGGTTTTGGAGTAGAAATGGATGAAAAGCCCTGCTGTTATATAATTTTCACTTTGGGACTTTTGTGAGGTTAATTCCAAACCACAGAGAATGTTGCACGAATGCTTGCTGGCTTCTGATGAAATTATTTTGTCATTAACCCTAATCATTAAAACGTACAAATAAGTAACTGCTATAATTCTACCATCCAGTGATAATCTCTAGTAAATTTCTTGATCTTTGGAATTTTTGTCTTATACGTATAAGTACAAGTACAAAATGAAGATCAAATCAGATTCTTTGAGTAGCCCTTTCTCCCCCCTGAAGCAGTACATCAGAAACAACTTTCCCAATGAGTAAATAAGTGTTAAAATCACTCTAAATAGATAAAGAAGATTCTCTTTGATTATAACATCTTGGAAGCAATGTAGACTTCCCATATTGAAATCACTTTCACTGTCTTATGTTAGGAAACCTGCTATGCCAGATACCTTTGCATTTCTGCTCCCACAGAAAGATACTCTTTTTTTAAGGGAAATATTTCCAAAATAAAAGCACAGAGAGCCTTTTACCAAGCATCCACTCGTCCATCACCCAAGATAGAACTGTGGCCAACATTTTTTCATGTTTACTCTAAGTGCCTTTTGTTGGGCTGGTGTATTTTGTGTTTTGTGCACATCTTACCAATACGTTGAAGCTCCCCCCACCCCCCCAATTCCTCTTTCATGATTTCATTACTCTGCCTCTCTCCTTTTTCCTCCCATGGCTTGAGACCTTTCCTATCCATGTTTTTATACTTCCACTATATATTACACAGTTGTAAACAAAGTAGAGTATTTTTTTAAATGTTCATATACAAAGTCACCTCCATCCTTCTGCATCCTTTCATGGATAAATGAGATTTATTCATGTGGTGTCATGTACATTTCAGTCATTTACAGCACTGTAGTTAATACAGATTCTTAGGTCAAAGTGTACGATTATAAGCTGTTAATAAAAGTTGCTGTATCATACTGTACAAGAGCTCTGCCAGTTTATTATAATCTCCACCTGTTGATGTTTTTGTGCATTTTATGGATGAGGGAATAGAAGCCAAAACAGCATTGTCCTGAAGCCGAAGTTATAATTGGGTGTGTTTGGAGACAGAAATGGAAGTGATGTACGATTAAGCCATTCGTTAATCATGTAGATTTGATTCCATGATGTTTCAGAAGACTCTATTTTATCTTTTTTGTAAACTTAGCCTGTCGCATTTGTTCTCTGGAGTGATGTGACATAAGTAAGATGTCCACCTTGCAAGGCAGGATTGCACAAATGACAATGATTCCTTGTAACTCTTTTTTAAAAGCCTAAAGGTGGTGATGCCAAATCTTCAAGTAAATCAAAGCGATCTCAGGGTCCTGTCCATATTACAGCAGGAAGTGAGCCTGTCCCTATTGGAGAGGATGAGGATGATGATCTGGACCAGGAAACATTCAGCATAGTAAGTCTTGAAATTGAGGGGTGCTGGGGTATGCGGCTAAAGTGCTTGCCTTCCCCAGGTCCAGCCACACAGCCTCAGCCGGCCTGAGCATTAGTATGTTACCTTAGAACACATTGCTTCTACTATCTGGAGACCTTTTGCTCTGGACTAGGCAGGCAGGAAGAGATTTTCTTACTCTCCAGTGAGAAAGAATTTTGGGAAATCGATTTCCTATCTTGTGCTCCTAGGAAGAAAGGCTGTGGGAGTTGGGGAGGGGGGGATGGTGGGTGGCTCAGTTGGTTAAGCGTCACACTCTTGCTTTTGGTTCAGGTTGTGATCTCAGGGTTGTGGGATCGAGCCCCGGGTTGGTCTCTGTACTGAGGGTAGGTCTGTTTGACATTCCTCTCTCTCCCTTCCCCTCAGCCCCATGCGTGCATGCGCTCTCTCCCTCTCTCCCTCAAATAAATAAATAAAATCTTTAAAAAAAGGGAAAGGCTGCAGGGGCCCTTAGAGGCATTTGGGAAACAGAAGTGTTCCTTGAGCTAACATTTATTGAGTACTTTCTGTGTGTCAACCCTGAATTTACCTACCATGTTGCAAAGAGAATTGCTTCTGTCTCTGCAGACTTCACATTTGAGTAGGGGAGATAGATAGCCACACGGATCGTGCTCGTGCTACTCTGATGGACTGTGGGGGATCTTTAGCAGATGCTCTGAAGATCCTGGAGAAGGGGATTTGACCCAGGCAGGGGCTGTTGGGAAGGCATGTTTAAGGAGGCGATGTTTGAATTGGGTTCTGAAGGAAGAGGGAAAGGTCACAAGAGATGAGGGAAGGGAAGAACATGTCAAGGCAAGGCAGCAGCATGCACAAAGGCCCTGTGGCAGGACCACCTGTGGTGCAACGAGTAGGTCACAGAAGGCCACAGTGGCTGGCGTGGTGAGAACCAGGGGACAGCACGACGAGATGAGGCCAGGGTCCTGGCTGAGTGAGTGAGAGCAGTGGTGAGCATGAGCGTGGTGTGTCTTCCATGCTCCCACACTGCGGTACTCAGGGCTAAGACATGTCCAGGACATGGTCTCTTTCCTCATACGGGACAGGGAATATGATGGAGGAGGGGAGCGCATGGACCAGCTTGAGCGGGAATGGAAACAGGCCAGCGTGTCCCCAGGGACCTTAGCCCCTCAGTGGAGCTGCATGGTCTTCATTGTGCTGCTCCATGATTCCTCCCACCTCCTCTGCCCAGCCTTCCATAAATCACAGCTCCCTTGATCAGTTAATTCAGTCTCAAAGAGAACCGCATCTTCCAAATCTCAAAATACTCCTGCTGTGTGGCAGCAAAGGATAGAATACTGACCTCATCCTGTAAGGTAGTCTTCTCTCTCATTGCTCCTTTCTCTGTGTTCTCAAAAATCTGTGTACATACATACGTATATATATATATATATATATTTTTTTTTTTTTTTTTTTCTTTGCACTTACCTCATTTTTCTTAATTCTCTGGACTGTTTTGTCCTCAGCTGTCTGACAGCAAGTAGTGGTTCTTATGTAAAGTACATTTAGGTGTTAGAAGTATTTTTAAAGAAAAAGGGATATCAGTAAATGCATAAACTGACTAAATGAATAAATTCATTGTACAGCCAGCCTTCTGATCTGATCTGATCTGTTCTGGTTTTTCCTTAGTCCAGTATTTATAAGAGAAAATCCTAACCTAATGCTTCTAATAATAACCATTTATTTTAAAAAATGCTTTCACATATTGGCTCTTTTTACCATGTTTTAATATTATGAAATCTTTAAAAAATGTAGAAAAATTTAAGAAATAAAATAGACATTGATAACAGGTACCATGAAGCCTTGTTAAATGTGAGTTTTTAAGACTCAGAGTAAAGTTGAAGCCCCTGGTGTTTCTCACTCTAAACCCAAACTTTGGGGCGCCTGGGTGGCTCAGTCGTTAAGCGTCTGCCTTGGGCTCAGGTCCTGGGATCGGGCCCCGCGTTGGGCTCCCTAGCTCTGCGGGAAGCCTGCTTCTCCCTCTCCTGCTCCCCCTTCTTGTGCTTTCTCGCTGTCAAATAAGTAAAAATCTAAAAATAAATAAAGAAAGAAACCCGCGGTTTTCCTTTCTTACCTCCCCATAAGTAAGGGTACTTTTAGATCCAGTTATTGTTCTTGCGCTTGGTTTTAGCATTTTACGACTTCTGTTTGTCTGTAAAGACAGTAACGACAATAAACAGCCAGGCACTGTTTGTGCATTTTTGTCTTTTTTCTCCACAACAATCCTATGGGGTAGGTAATTCTCTTCTGGCTGGCTTACTCAGTAGAGCATGACTCTTGATCTTGGGGTCGTGAGTTCAAGCTCCACGTTGGGTGTGGAGATTACTTAAAAGTAAAATATTGAGGGGCGCCTGGGTGGCTGAGTCGGTTAAGCATCTGACTCTTGGTTTCGGGTGAGGTCATGATCTCAGGTTTGTGGTATCGAGCCCCGAGTTGGGCTCCCTGCTCAGCGGGGAGTCTGCTTAAGGTTCCCTCTCTCCCTGCCCCTCTCCTCCAGCTCTCCCACTCACACTTCTCTCTCTTTCTCTCTCAAGAAATAAGTAAATAAAAATAAAATCTTAAAATAAAATGAAGAGAGTCACAGAAGTTGTGTGTTAACATAGTTAAGATGGTAGGGCAAAAGTTTGACCCAGATAGTGCGCCTGGGTTCTTAACCCTTCTGGACAGCCTCCCGTGTGTCTACACAGCATACAGTATTGCTTTCCATGTTTAAAAACTTCATAAAAATGCCATACTGTGTATATCCTGTAACTTGATTTTCCTCCCGCAGCATCTCTATTTTTGAGGTTTGTCCATGTTGGTAATTTAAACTGTTTTCAGGGGGTGCCTGGCTGGCTCACTTGGTAGAGCATGTGACTCTTGATCTCGGGATTGTGAGTTTAAGCCTCAAACTGGGCACAGGGCTTACTTAAAAATAAAAATTAAAACAAACAAACAAACCTGTTTCATAGTATTTTATATCCTGACTTCCACAACTCATTGTTTCTCCTGTAGATGAACCTTGGGGCTTTCCAAAGGTTAACTACCAAAAATGGCAGCAAAAGTCTTGTAAATATTTTTATTTACACACGTGTAAGCACTTCTCTAGAGTAGTGTACTGCTTGCGCAGAGCTCTAGGTCTTTCCCTGGGCACGCACATCGACCACTTCACTAGGTACTGTTGAATTAGCCCTTCCAGCTATGGTGGAGGTTTATACACTCCTAGCAGGGAATTGGAGTTCCGATCGCTTCCCAGTCTCAGAAACACTTGGTTATTTCTGACTTCTCAGTTTTTGCCAGTCTGAGGGGTATGAAATATTGATCAGTGGTGTAGTTGAACATTTGTTTTCGTATCTGTTAGGCATTCATGTTTCCAGCGGATTGTCTGTTGTATTCTTTGCCTATTTTGGGGTAATTTGGTCTTACCTTTTCTATAGCAATCCTTTCTACATTCATGATATTGATCTCTTTCTTACCCATTACAGTCATTACAGACACCTTCCAGGTTATGGTACATCTTTTTATCTTGTGTACTTCTTGAAAATTGAGGTTTAACTCTGAAAAGTAAACAGATGGAATTACCACAGAGTGATAGAAGTTTGTAGGGTTTTCTGTGTTCTGAAATTTTGTGCTCATGTGCCTTAGTAGTTTGTTGTACCAGATAGCTTGTGGTTGACAGCCATGCCCTATGGGTCTGAGTTTTCTTGAATTATTCTGTGGTGATTTCCTCCTAATTCTTAGTTTTATCTTTACAGAACTTTTTGTTCTGGGAAACAGGATTTTGGGAGTGGTCCATAATACTACTACATGTTTTTCATTTCTGCTTTTTAAATTCTACTTTCTAGGAGAGCCCCTCCACTTTCTCACGTTAGTATTTCTTTTAAGCTTTTTACTTCTCTTGTCATGTTTTATATCCATGATCTTCCCCTGCCCATGGTTCTCTGAATGTTTTTTTTTTTTTATATTTCCCTTTAACTTGTTTTCCATCGTTGATGTTAGATATTTTTTCAGATGACTTGTAATCATTGGTTGTCTGCACACACATTTGGGAGTAGGGGACTAACCATCCGACCCGAAGCTCTGAGCATGTGGTTGGGGCTTGGTCGACTTCCTGTGTTTACTCTCTGGTGATGTGGCTGCGCTGCTTCATTGGGAGGCTTGCACTGGGTATTTGCCCCTCTTAGAAGGTCAGATTTTGTGGACAAGGACCCTCCAGTCTCCTGAGTGGAGGGTGAAGGCCTGGCTCTCTTCGTTCTGGAGTCTGGGAGGCAGAAGGCCAGGTGCGGGCTCCTCTAGGGTGTGTCTGCTCATACGCTCCTGCTTCAGTACGTAGCCCAGTTCAGAGACCGCTCCTTTATCTTCTGCAGAGAATAACCTCTGTACCTTTTGCTGGGCCCAGCTGGAAGTTTGGGTGTCTCTTGTGAATCTGGGTATTTGTTACTTCTAAGCATTGTTGGAAAAAACCACTCAGTTTTAACTCTCCTACTTCAGAGGCACCTAGCTTGCCTCTGGGGTGGAATGTGGCAGTATAAGCCAGGTTGGTTCACATCTCGGGCCTCTTAAGTCATTTCCCTTGCTGCCAATATTTTGTTGCTTTTGTTTTCTCTTTCATTTTCCCTTGTCTTTGTGGGTTTTTTGAAACATTCCCTTTACTGTTGTTCAGTGGAGTTGGGCGGGGGAGAAACCGACTTTTGTGTTCAGCTCACATCTTTATCTGCAAGCCTTCCCCCTTAGTTTCTTATACGCCCAAAGGACTTGTAACCATTTTATCCTGCAGTTTCAGATAGTTTATCTGGTGGTGGGACGTTTCTGGCTTAGGCCTATAATCTTGCTTCTCATTTTATCTTCATAATGGCCTGATGAGGCATCATCACAGCCCTCTTGCAGACGAGGAGACAGCATTTGGAGCTATGATAAAAGCAAGGTACAGAAGTCATCGCTCTAAGAGATGCCTGTTGGGACCTGCACCTCAGGTTTTCCTGACTTTACATTTGTGCTTGTTCCCTGGGCTTTAACCCGTTCCTCCCCTGGCGGTAACATGCCGTGAGGGTGGGCTGGGTTTTCTCTGGGAAGTTAGGGCACAGGGAACAAAGACAAGATGTCTCTGCTGCAAGTGTTTCATGTCTCTATTCTGTTGGCCTGTTCCAGTGCAAAGAGCGGATGAGGCCTGTGAAGAAGGCACTGAAACAACTGGACAAACCCGACAAGGGGCTCAACGTGCAAGAGCAGCTAGAGCACACCCGAAACTGCCTGCTGAAAATCGGAGACCGGATAGCCGAGTGCCTTAAAGCCTACTCAGACCAGGAGCATATCAAACTGTGGAGGAGGTGAGTGACCCCGGCCTCAGATTGCCTGGTGTGATTTGACAATGTGGGTGTGGGGAGGGATCTGTGTTTGTTTTACAAAAGCTGACACAGCCATCTAATGAGATAAAACCCATCTATTGGCAGCATACCTGCAGGTTTCAATTTCATTTTCCTGCAGTAGCCATTCCACTGAGACAGTCTTTTGAATAGGTGGGATGATGTCATTATTTTATAAGAGAAGAGCAGGGAGACTGGATTTGCTGGCCTGTTCTCAGAGCAAAGACTTGGTCTGTAAACCTGGAAGGGATAAAAATCATCTAGTCTCACTACTTCACCCACCTCAGGTTGATAGATATAATAACTATTTGAATAGTTCTCTACTAACACATGAGGTGAAACAAAGATTAAAATCATCAGAACTATGATTTTTCCATTCTCTCTGATAATTGAAGAACTCTAGTAGTAAGTTGTATTAATGCAGTTTAATCCAGAACTTTAATTTGTAAGGCGTATCATGGTTCATATATAGTCATTTATATACTCACTTTTGATTTTTTTAGGAAAACACAACTGGAATTTCTTTCTCAAAGATAATTGTAACATTAAGTCTCTTTCCATAATCCAAAGTGACTTTGAACTCACGTCCTTCATGGTTCATGTAATTATTTGGTATAATATGCCCAATCACAGTGGATTGGTTTTGAGTGAAAAATGGATTTAAGAAAACTTTCTGTCATGATGCTATCCATAGCATGCTTCACACCTATCAAAAAAATTTAAGTGTTCAAAATGTATACTGTTACCAACTTCTTCCTGTGCCTAGCCACTGGGCTGTTTTTCTAGTCAAGTTAATCCCTGTTGGAAGAGAACAAAAGGTCATCCTAATACATAGATCTCTGAAGCTAAGCTTCCTGCCGGGCACTGGGGCCTGTGTTGGAGTGTGTGGGGCACTGTGGACTGGCTAACAGTCGTTCATAAGAAGGTCCTTGGCCCTTCCAGAGACACTGTCCCTCCTGAAGTGGTCATTGCACGACCCGGTATGGTAGGTGTTGGAGAAGGAGGAGGGCCTGCAGAAGAGCAGTCAGGGAGGATGCTCTTCTGAGAGGCAGGCAGGTGTACTTGAGCTGGGCGTGGAAGAGTAGGGCGGACTTGCTCAGGCTTTGGCACAGGCTTACAAGTGGGCCGGTGAGGGGGGCTGGGAGGTTTTTAGGGTTTAAAGGCAGTTTGTTAAGACCACTGAAGCCCCTTCTAGGCGATCTTAAAAAGGAAGGGAAGGTGCAGCAGATTTACTACTCCGGGAGCCAGTCCCATTTGTGTGGGTGGCATGACGTGGTCAAACTGTTCTCTACAAAGTGTGGAAGGAGGTGACACTCCTTTTCTAGCTCACTGCGAGTACCGCTACCTCCTTGTTCTAGATGCCCGTCTTGTTAGTCACCCTGCCATCCAGGGTAATGCCTTGCTAGGGTGAGTGCAGTGGCATTGTAGGGAGGTGCTGCTTGGCGTTTTAAGGAAGAAACGAGAGGTCTTGGTGGTGACAACTGGGACGGAAGAAGGGATAGCAACATGGGGATGCCCGAATGTATGTAGGTCCCAACCAGGAAGATGGTGGTAATGATGGGTTGGGTTGTGTGGCTGAATCTGGAGGTGTGGAATGTGGAGGAAGACTTCCAAGACTTTCCTGGGTGCCGGTGAAGTAAGGGGTTTTAGGTGGGAGAGCCCTCGTCTCCAGACCCATCGGCCAGACTCTGTGGACACTGGCATCTAAAGATGTGTTAATGAAACGCAGACCTGAAAGAATGTTTCTGTTATTTAATTTCTACACTTGGTCGAGTATCCATGGCAGAATTCAGTAGCTTGCCATCAATAAAGAGAATAGAAAGTCATTTAAAGAATTCTATAATTTGCTTAGAACTGTTTTTTTTTTTTTATTTTTTATTTTTTTTTAGGAATCTATGGATTTTTGTTTCCAAGTTTACAGAATTTGATGCTCGAAAATTGCATAAGTTATACAAGATGGCTCATAAGAAAAGATCTCAAGAAGAGGAGGTAAAATACAAATTTAATCCTAATTTATACAAACAGATAAAAACCAGTTCCACAGAAAAATTCATTACAGTTTTTCCCTGGGGAGATGGTCATGGGATGATATTGTTGGTGCTAGAAGGGTCCTTGGTTCCCCGCCCTCACTACAGATGGGGTGGAGGTGCCCAGCACGGCCCCGCCTGTCCCCGCCTGTCCCCGCCACAGTGTGCTCTGGTACCACGTTAGCTCTGCAGTCTCTCAGCACACTCCCCTAGTGGTGAAAGTAACAGTGAGACTGGACGGGTGAATTAGCCAACGTATTAGAACCAAAGCGTATTAAAATTCTGACAAGGAGTTGTTACCCTGTGTTCCTATGTCCCGGAATCACTTACTCACCAATCTTTTTTTTTTTTTTTTTAAAGATTTTATTTTATTTATTTGACAGAGAGAGAGAGAGAGACCGCTAGAGAGGGAACACAAGCAGGCGGAGTGGGAGAGGGAGAAGCAGGCTTCCTGCCAAGCAGGGAGCCCGATGCGGGGCTTGAACCCAGGACCCTGGGATCATGACCTGAGCTGAAGGCAGACGCTTAACGACTGAGCCACCCAGGCGCCCCGACTTACTCACCAATCTTGTGGTAGCTTATAAACGTGGCTCCTGACTAGTAACAGGGTTGTGGGCAGAAAATACTTTTCTGTTCTTTTCTGGCCATGTATACCTGGTGTCCTTCCAGCTTTCGTACGTAGTGTCTCAACTGCTCATGTAAAGGAGCAGATAGGAGAAGGTACCCAGAAGTTCCTTCCCTTCTCTGGCATAGGGGATGGGCACATAAGTGACTTGGCTGATTCTGCAGGGGCTGTGTTCCTTGTGCCTGCATGCCTGTTTCCAGATCTGCTGACTTGCCATGTGGTCCTTACCCAAATCAGCCACTCAGGGCCGATCTGTGAACATTGAACACCTCCGCCACTAACATGTCAGCTCCATGAAGGCAGAGATGTTACATCTTTCATCCTCTGCTATGTCCTCGGTGCCTGGAATGGTGCTGCGCACAGGGCAGGTGCCCAGAAGTATTTGTTGCATGAACTTAACACTATGCTTAGCATCGTGTGGGACTGTAGAGTAGTACTCTCAAGTACTTTCTAATTTAATTTTACATGGAAGAGTATGATACAACAGTAACATACAGAAATAATATATTAATATCACTGCATGTTAATGTAAATTTTAAGCATTGTAAAAGTCCGAGAGGATAGTCAGGAAAAGCCCGAGGGGGGAAAGATCCTCTAGTGGGGATTGGAAGTTTCACACGATGAAGTCAGACACATGGTGGTCAAGGGCCACATTCGTCTGAGTCTCAGAAGGAAGCGTCGCTGAGTGAAAGTGGTGGGGTCCTGCTGCTGGGAGTACCACTGTCACAGCTGTGCTGAAGGACAGGTCCGATTTGTCAGCAGACAAAGAGTTCTGAGAATTTAATGAGGTAATTAAGGATTCAAACGTGTTTACAGTGGGAATGACTTAAACGTCCAACAGTAAGGAATAGATTAAATGGGTCATGATATATCCATACTGGGGAGTTACTCAGCCATAATAAAATAGTGCAAATGAGTGTTTACATGAGAAGATGTTCACAATACATAAAGTGAAAGAAGAGTACCAAAGAATATTTTTGTTGTTAAAAAAAAGCTTAGAAAGACATGGACCAAATTACAGACATTAATTCCCTTGGTGGTGAGATTTTAGGTCACTTTGCATTTATTTTTTTCTTACTGTATTTTCTGTTTTTATGTCACATTTTACTTGTGTGGTAAAGAAGCAAACAGATGTTTAGCTTGACTTTGGCGTAGGAACTAGTACCCCCTGGGCTAGTCAGGCCTTGCTGGTTCTAGTTAGTCTAGGAAAGCTGGTGGTCCTAGTTTTATGCGGTCCAAGCTGAATCTCTGAGAACGCGCAAGGCCTGGGCGTCTGTTCCGCGCATGCCCGGTGCGGTGGCATCCAGCAGTCCGTGATCCGTGCTCACAGGACTTGCCAGCGGGGGGTGACTTTCTTGTCAGAGCAGCACGTGCTGCTTTGAGAGACTGGTGTGCTGTGGGAGCTCAGGGGAATTTCGGAACATGTTCTATAAGTATGTAGTAGATGGCGGGTTGGAAGCCAAGAGAGGAATACTTGGAGGTGGTGATCTGTGAACTGTTCTTGGGAATTCCGCCGGGGGGCTTAAGATGCTTTGGTTTCTTTTTATTCTCAGGAGCAAAAGAAGAAAGATGATGTGATTGGTGGTAAGAAGCCGTTTCGACCAGAGGCCTCGGGCTCCAGCCGGGACTCCCTGATATCTCAGTCGCACGCCCCGCACAACCTTCACCCTCAAAAGCCTCACTTGCCCGCCTCCCATGGCCCACCGATGCACGGACACCCACGAGATAACTATAATCACCCCAACAAGAGACACTTTAGTAACGCAGGTAGGTCATTAAGTGGAGTTTTAAAAAGAGATGCCAAAAGAATCACTTTATTTTCTGAAGATAGCAGCTAGACCTTTGTGCTGTCTTCTCCTTTAGGACTTTGTCTTCTGTCTCAGTGAGACAGAGGGTGAAGTAAAGGTCCAAAAGGCCGTTTGTTACTGCAGCTTGAAGAAGAACATGGCCACCATAAACAAGTAATAGGCTGAGATGAGCAATTTACATTATATAGGATGGTGAAATGGTTAAAACTGCTAATACTGAAAGAGCCTTGTAAATTGACAACAAAAGAATTAGCAAATAGAAAAACGGACAGAGGTTAGGAATAGAGAATTCATACAGAAGAGGAAGTTCAAGTGGCCACTATGACAAGGTGACCAGCACTGCCCCTAGGGAAATGTAAATTAAGACAATAGCAAACTAACCAATTTTTTTTGCCCATTCAGATCAACAAAAATTAAAAGGGTGGAATACACAGAAATTGCTAACAGTGTGAATTGCTGCAGTGTTTCCAGAAATTAATCTGAAATATCTAAATACATAAGCCTTTTTTTTGGTTTGTACAAGAATGTATGAGGATGCCATTCCAGTCTTACAGTGGCAAAAAGCTGGAAGTAACTTCGGTATCCATTAACAGGAGAATCATAAGATAAATAGTAGGACACTGGTGCTCCATATTATCTATTATTAAAAAGAATGAGTTAGCTTTAGAGATAAAAAAGATGAGAGAGAAGGCAGCAACAACAACAAAATCTGTGTATGTCTAGGTTTATTAAGGTGACATTCACATAACATCAATTTTACCATTTTATTTTTATGTTATTTTTTTAAGTTTTATGTATTTATTTGTGAGAGAGAGCATGAGAGAGAGAGCAACCAGGAGCAGGGGGGGTCAGAGGGAGAGAAGCAGACGCCCCGCTGGGCAGGGACCTTGATGTGGGGCTCCATCCCAGGACCCTGGGATCATGACCTGAGCTGAAGGCAGACACGCCCCAAACTTAACCGTTTTAAATATCCAGTTTAGTGGCATTTAGTACATTCACAGTGTTACGTAACCACCACTTCTATCTTAGTCACAAAACGTTTCCATCAGCTCAAATGGAAATCCCACATCTGTGGGGCCGTTTCTCTCCATCCCCTGCCTGCAGCCCCAGTGTGTATTCTGTCTGTCTGGATTCATGTGTTTGGGACACTGCCTGTTAATGGAATCATACTATATGTGTCTAATTTCTTTCATTTGGTATAATATTTCCAAGGTGTATCTACAGTGTAACGTGTGTTAGTACTTCATTCCTTTTTGTGGCTGATTTGTAATGGACACAGGTCACAGTCATCCATCCATGGGTTAATGGACATTTAGGATGTTTCTATTTTTTGGCTATCATGAAGAGTACTGCTGTGAAAAATCTGTGTGTAATACGTATGTGAGGACCTGTTTTCAACTCTTTCGGGTATATTCCTGGCAGTGGAATTGCTGAGTTATATGGTAATTCTAATTTAATTTTTTGAGGAACCACCAAACTGTTTTCTGTAGTATATGTTTGAATAAGCATAGAGAAAGATGTGAAGACACACCCAGTACCAGTGACCTCAGGATGTGGGGAATGGAGGGGTGACTGCAGGAAGTTAATAATTTCTCCATCTGTTGTTTTACTGGTTATACTGAGCATGGATTTTGAAGATACAAGTAAGAAGAAAGGGAAAAAAGTGTATAGAATCAAAGCTAAAAGTATATGGAATATATAGAAATCATAGTGTAGGATTTTGCAAAGGGTCATGTATTCCATATTAATTAGGATGAAGTGTTAATTTCTTTCTAAACTTCAGTTCTAGGATTTCCATTTGATTCTTTTATTTTTTATTTATTTATTTTTTTAAAATTTTTTATTCTTATGTTAATCCCCATACATTACATCATTAGTTTTAGATGAAGTGTTCCATGATTCATTGTTTGTGCATAACACCCAGTGCTCCATGCAGAATGTGCCCTCCTCAATACCCACCACCAGGCTAACCCATCCTCCCACCCCCCTCCCCTCTAGAACCCTGTTTGTTTTTCAGAGTCCATCGTCTCTCATGGTTCGTCTACCCCTCCGATTTCCCCCGCTTCATTCTTCCCCTCCCGCTACCTTCCTCTTCTTCTTTTTTTTTTTTCTCAACATATATTGCATTATTTGTTTCAGAGGTACAGATCTGAGATTCAACAGTCTTGCACAATTCACAGCGCTTACCAGAGCACATACCCTCCCCAGTGTCTATCACCCAGTCACTCCATCCCTCCCACCCCACCCCCCACTCCAACAACCCTCAGTTTGATTCCTGCGATTAAGAATTCCTCATATCAGTGAGATCATATGATACATGTCTTTCTCTTTTTGACTTATTTCACTCAACATAATTCCCTCCAGTTCCATCCACGTCGTCGCAAATATATATACCACCTCTTCTTTATCCATTCATCTGTCGATGGACATCTTGGCTCTTCCCACAGTTTGGCTATTGTGGACATTGCTGCTATAAACATCGGGGTGCACGTACCCCTTTGGATCCCTACTTTTGTATCTTTGGGGTAAATACCCAGTAGTGCAATTGCTGGATCATAGGGTAGCTCTATTTTCAACTTTTTGAGGAACCTCCATACAGTTTTCCAGAGTGGCTGCACCAGCTTGCATTCCCACCAACAGTGTAGGAGGGTTCCTCTTTCTCCGCATCCCCGCCAACATTCCATTTGATTCTTTTAAAAAATACATTTCAGTCTTGTAAAATTCTCAAGCTTTTAGAAAACTTGATTTTCTCCATCTTTCCCTCTTTTTTTGAACATATGAATTATAGTTATTTAAAAATTTTAACCTGCTAACTCCAGTATCTGAATTATTGTGCATCATATGTTGTATGTTTTATTTCTCTTGGTTTTCAGTTCTACAGTCCCGTCTTTTATGCCTAATTATTTTTGATTAAATGGGAGAAATCTACGGGATGCCTGGTGGCTTAGTTGGTCCTGGGTTCAGGGGTCCTGCGATCAAGTCCACCTCCCTCTACCCCTCCCCACCGTTTGTGCTCTCTCTCGCTCTGTCTCGCTCTCTCAAAATATTTAAAAAAAATAAAAGCGGGAACCTATGTTTTAGAAATTGTGCAAGCTCCAGGTGATGTTGCTGTTCCCTGGGGAGGATTCATTCTTTCCTCCCCTGGGCACATGGAGTGTGAGGTGATCATTCTGATCTAGTCTGCCGCTGGTCCCCTGTTCCTGGAGCTTAGCTCTTCCGAGTGCTCAGCAGAGGGCCTGTAGCAGCATTCTCTGCCCCCTCCCCTTCCGCAGGCTCTAAGCTTCAGTCTCGGTTTTCTCAGCACCGCGAGACTGCCACAGGCTGATCTGCTGTTCCGAGGATTCCAGTTTAGGTTTTTAGCCTTCTGCTCCCTGCAGACTCAGCACATGTCCTAAGGGAAGGTTGGTTGTGCGTTTGAGCCCCTCGGCTCTGCCATGCCCCTCTAGCCTTGAAGGCCCTCCGGAGGCTCTGCTGGTGTCTCTGGTCCTGTGCTGGGAGCAGCGCAGATACTCAGCTTCTCACCTGTGCGCAGAATCACAGCCTCCCTGCCCGCAGTGGCTTCGGCAGTCACCTCTTACTTCTGTGAGCTTTTCTGCTCTTCGGAGTCTTACTCGTTCTAGTCCTGATGGCTCTGGCTGATCTTTGGTGTCTTCCAGCAGGTAAGTTTTGCTTATGCGGCCTTTCTCACTGTTCTTGGCGGAATGTAGTTCTGCTGCTGTAAACTGCCCGGAAGCAGAAGTCCCATGTCTTCTAATCTTAAAGATCTAAGTAGTTCAGAATTAACTGATCCCCATTTGATTGACAGGGAAAAAGGTGATTACTGTACAAGACGATTGGACGGTGTTTCTGTGTTCGTAGATCTAATTGTATTTGTCCTGACTTTTCCCTGGGATCAGACTGGTTTTGTGTTATTCATGTGACGTCACTGAATTTATATTCTGATCCTTTGAAAGAACTCTTCTTAGTGCACTCACTGTAGTCTTTTATTTAGTCTTGGATTCTCACCCATCTCCTTAATAGCTCAGTACTTCCTAACCAGCGACCTACCTCATGGTGGGTTCAGGAAGAAAGAAAAGCCCTGTTTGGTTTCTCTGGAAATAAATGGCTTGGCTCCAGTTGTAAGCATCTCCACTATCCTGCAGACACTGACACCCTGTTTGTGTCCATTCGGTTTAAAGCCATCTTCAAGTGATTTGTTTTCATGTCGTGAAGGTGTCTCTTTCTTGTTGTTGTCCATTAAGTTATTAGGCTGAGTAGTCGACGTTTTTTACTTGTTGGTTCTCTGGCCTGACCCGCCGTGGATCAGCAGTTACTTCAGTGGTGTCAGATTCTAATAAGCTGCACAGGTTCCTTCAGGGTGTTGTTCTGTGACTATACAAAAATGCTTAGAAGACCAAAAAAATGAGTAGAGAGACATCTATCTGATGGCTTATTTTTGGTGTTAGCGTAGTTGTAGATAGAAGATGGATTTCCTGTGAGGCCACATAGTTCCTTCTGGTTAAGCCTAAGGCTGCCCGTAACAAAGAACCACAAACTGGGTGGCTTAGAACAACAGAAATGTATTCTTCACACTTGTGGAGGCCAGAAGTCTGAAGCCAGGGTATCCGTCGGTTGTTGCTTCCTGGGAGACGTGAGGGAGAATCTGTTGCCAGCCCTTGTCCTGCTGTGTAGTGCCTGCCTGCTCCTCCTCGGTGCTCCGTGACCGGTGGCTGTGTTGTCCCCGTCTCTGGCTCCATCAGTGCATGGCCTTCCTCCCTGTGTCTGTCTCAGACCTCCCTCTGCCTTTCTCTTAGAAGAGTATCTGTCATTGGATCCAGGGCCCAATCTAAATCCAAGATGATCTCATCTCGAAATCCTTAATTACATCTGCAAAGACCCTATTTTCAAAAGTCACACTTACAGGTTCTAAGTGGACCTATATTTTTGGGGTCACACTTGAGCCCACTGTAGCCTCCATTCCTGGACTTCTGTGTGTTCACTACCTTTTCTGATTCAAATAAGTGTGATTCTTCTCAGGGGAAAAGGGAGGCTGAAGAAGCAAGAACATTTCAGTTTGGCCCTGCCCTTGAGAGGTAGCAATACTGATCCAAACCCAGAGTGAAAGGAATCACTTTTTACAGGAGGAGGTTCGTCTCTTTGGTTTGGGCTGGGAGAGAGTAATACAGTCAGTATGTCCAGTCTGGAAATACTTTCAGAGACCGGGCACAGCTTATGGTTACTAGCAGGTACGTAAACTTCCGACATGTGAGCAGAGGATGCTACCTCGCGGCTGTGAAACTCCGCAAGTTCTGTTCTCTGAATTAATGTTTGGTTTTGTTTTTTTGAGTGAAATCCCATTTTAAGGCTCTGACGCAGAATGGAAGGTAAAGGGGCTTGGAGAATAAAAAGCCATAGTTCTTCGGACTTCCTAAGAGAAAGGCCATGAATTTTCTTTTGCCTTAAAATTTGAGGAGAGAATGTTGGGACTCAGTACTGGTATGTTTACCAGCAGCAAAGAGGCTATGAAGGAGGAAATACAATGTCTATTTCTGTAACACGTGTCAGCCTTTGAGTTTAAACTTCAGTGGTTGTGAAATTCAGCCATTTGTTGCAGTCGTGAAACTGTTCTTTCTTTTCCTGCAGATCGAGGAGACTGGCAGAGGGACAGAAAGTTCAACTATGGTGGTGGCAACAACCCTCCGTGGGGCAGTGACAGGCACCATCAGTATGAGCAGCACTGGTACAAGGACCACCATTATGGGGACCGGCGACACATGGACGCCCACCGTTCTGGGAGCTATAGACCCAACAACCTGTCCAGAAAGAGACCTTATGACCAGTACAGCAGTGACCGAGACCACAGGGGACACCGAGATTACTATGACAGGTAGGCGGAAGGTCCTGAGACACCAGACGCTGATCTCTGCCAGGAGTTTTACTCTTGGAGGGGGAGAGACAAGTAACATATGCATTCATGTCTTTATTAAGTGTTCGTTGAACATCTCATCATGTGCCAGGCATGGTCCCTAGTCTGAGCTGATGTTTTTGCTGTCAGGGCATCCTCAGGGTATTGGGGAGGAATCCTGGTGTAGGCAGCTGACACATGTGCTGAGTGGATGGTTGAAAGTAGAGGTTTTTGAGGTTTTTCCTGGGGGCTGAGGAAGAGGAGAGGTTGCTGATTCTTGCTTTGGGCCCTGAAGAGTCTGCTAAGGGGAGAGAAATGGAATTAGGTATCACAGGCCCAGGCCAAGGGTCGGCACCCAGAGAGGGAAGCCCAGAAGATGAACACTTTGGCTAGTAAGGGCTTGAATGCCAAGTTACAGGTCTTAAGTTGTGTTCTTTGGGTCATAGGGAGCCATCTGTAGTTTCAGGAAAGGTTTTCTGCCTTCCTCTGAGGAAATGTAGAGAAGTGGTAGCCTTAAAATACTAGAGTCTGCAACCAAATTGTTAACCTTGGTGCGAGGCTCTCAGGCAGCAGGATCCTAAGATGGGTCCCAGCCCCTGGTCCTTGTCTGCCATGACCCCACAGTTTAGGGGTGAAGGGCTTTTTGAAGTCGTACCCTGTCTACAACTGTACAAGACCATTATGAGCCAGTTAGCGTTGTAACCTGTGGGAATAACTATGGGAAGGGCCGAAGAGGTTTTATTTATTCTTCCTAATTTTAGGACTTGACTATATTTTAACCTCATAGCCGCTTTGGTTTTCCTTAGGCTAACGACATGCTTTGGGCTTGAATTTGAATTTGGAAAGTTTTGTATAAACATCTCCTTTTTTTTGGAGGATCTGGTAACACATTAGCCAGTGGCTCTAGCCGAGTGGCTGCTGTCTCCTTGAGAGGGGTCTGTGTCCCCCTCACCTCCCACCCTTCCGTATCATCTAGTCAGGCTCCAGTGGGCATTTGCCCTGTATTTCTTTGTCTAGATCTGTATTTCCATTATCACTTTTTTTTTCCTGCCTGAAGGACTGTCATTTTACTATGGGTCTGCTGGTGATAAATTCTTCAGCATTTCTATGTCTGAGAAAGTCTTTAGTTGGCGTTCATGTATGAAAGATACCTTTGCTGGGTATAAATTCTAGATGAATACTTTCAGCACTTTAAAGATGTTCCTCTTCTGTCAACTTGAACTGTTTCTGATGAAAAAAATCTGTCATCTCTTTGTTTCTCTTTACATAACGTGTGTTTTTTTTCCTTTATTCCTAGTTTTTATCAATGATTATAGTGCATCTTGCTGTATTTTTCCTCGTGTTTGTTTTGCTTGGGAAGTGTTGAGCTTCTTGGATCTGTGGGTTTATCTTTCTTACCAATTAGGAATATTTTTTTACCATTATTTCTTCTGTCCTCTTTCTCACCTCTTTTGGAGATTCTAATTACACCTATAATTAGGCTGTTTGTATTGGTTATTTTTTTAAATTTTGTTTTCTCTCTGTCTCCGTTGGATAGTTTCTATTGCTGTGTCTACAAGTTCACTGAGATTTATTTTTCAATGTCAACCTGCCTTGAGGCCCATCTAATATGTTTTGCATTTCATACATTGGAGTTTTATTGCTAGAAGTTGTATTTGGGCATCCCCCCCCCCCAATTTAAATCTTTGTCTAACCTTTTGAAATCTGGAATACAGCTTATAAATAGTTTTATCCTTGTTGGCTAATTCTACCATTTGGGTTAGTTTCAGTTGATTAGCTTATTTCCTCATTATGGTCTTAGTTTCCTGGTTTTCTCCATGCCTGGTAATTTTTGATTAGATGCCTCACCGAGTGCCAAGTATTTTGTATTCTTATAAATATTCTGGAGCTTTGTTGTGAGACACAGGTTACTTGCAAACAGTTCGACCCTTTCAGGTCTTGCTGTTAAGATTCTTTGGGCAGAATGGGAGCTGCTTTCTGGCAAGGGCTGATTTTTCCCACCGGAGGCAGGAATGCTTCATGGTACTCCACTGATGTCCCTTGAAACTTGAGGTTTTTTGGTATAGCTGGTGAGAACAGGGCACTTGCACCTCCAACCTTCCAGGTGGTTATTTCCTGGCCTTGGGTAGTTTCTTCACATGCACACCCTGAATGGTGTTCACTGAATCCCCAAGGGGAACCGTTTGCAGGTCTTTGAACTGCTTTCTGTGTGCAGAATTCTCTTCTGCGTTCCATCCTCTGAACTCCAGCTGCCTTGGTTCTGCCCCTGCCTATTAATTCTGGAAGTCTCCCTCCCCCTGTGCTGAGGCCTGGAAACTGTCTCAAGGCAGTGAGGGGTTTATTATGAGCTTCATCTCATTTGCTTTCCATCCCTCAGGGAATCACTGTTCTTTGTTTACCTGACATCTGGTGTCTTGAGAACCATTGTTCTATACATTTTGTCCCCTCTCTCTCTCTCTCTCTCTCGTTTAATGAGGGAAAATCCACATAATATGAATTAATTATTTTAAAGGGAACAATTCAGTGACATTTAATACATCCACAATGTCGTGCAACCATCTCGGTCTCAAGTTCTAAACACTGATCACCCCAAAGAAAAGCTGCATAACCATTAAGCATTCCCTCCATTCTGCTGTCTCCCCAGCTCCTGATTATTACCAATCTGTATTTTGTTTTTATGGATTTACTTCCCTTAGATATTTTGTATAAATGGAATCATAAAGATGTGGTCTTTTGTGCCTGGCATCTTTGAACATGTAGCATCATGTTTGAGTCTCATCCACTTTGTAGCACATGCTGGTACTTTGTTTCTTTTCGTGGCTGAATAATATTCCATTGTGTATTTTTTATCTATCCATTCATTGATGGACATTCAGATTGTTTCCACCTTTGGCTCTTGTAAACAGTGCTCTACGAACATGGGTGTAAAAGTATTCGTTTGAATACCTGTTTCAGTTATTTGGGGTATATGCCTAGGAGGGAATTTTTAGTTATATGGGAGTTCTGTGTTTGACTTCTCCACGGTGGCTGAAACATTTTACCCTCCTACTAGCAATGTACCAGAGTTGCCATTTTCCCACTTCTTTGCCAACACTTACCTTGTGTGTGTGCGCGTGTGCATGTGTGTATGTGTTTGTATGTTTGTTTAAACGAGGCCATCCTAGTGGGTGTGAATTGGGTAGCTCATTGTGATTTTGATTTGTTTCATTAAAGATGTTGAACTTCTTTTCATGTGCTTAGTGGCCATTTGTAGATCTTCAGAGAATTGGGTTGTTTGTCTTTTTGTTGTTGACTAGTACCAATTTTCTTCTAACAGGATAACAAGCAGTTTACTGTGGTGCTAATTAAAAATTTTAATATTCTTCACATTGAGTCAATTTTTAAAATAATTTAATTAACCTTTCATTTACTGTTGACTGTTTGGGTTGATTGTGGCTTTTACTGTTACTAATAACTTCTCAAATAATTTCCGTGGCTCTTTTCTCCTGGGCCAGGTCAAAGAATGTGAAAATGTTTGTAGATCTTGCCAGTTTTCCTGAAGGGAGTACGGCTTTACAAAGCCACCAGTGATTCAAGTGTGTACTTGTTTCATTGCAGACTTGAGGCTTATGTCATTTCATAGGTTGTGTTTTGCCAATAACTATAAAATAGCCCTTTGTTACTGCTTTTGTGGGTTTTTTTTTCCCCCCGATTCCTAGTAATGTAAGCATTTGTAGAGACTCGAGTCCTTTGGAAGTGTCCTTGAATATGAGTGCGTGAGGAAGAGCCGGTGGATGAAGAAGGAAGGGATGGGTTTGGTCTTTTCAGCTAATCCTTGCATCTCCCATTTTAGGCACCATCATGACTCTAAGCGGAGGAGATCCGATGAATTTCGGCCTCAAAACTACCACCAGCAGGATTTCCGACGAATGTCTGACCACCGCCCCCCTATAGGCTACCATGGCCAAGGACCTTCGGACCATTACCGCTCTTTCCACACAGACAAACTGGGGGAGTATAAACAGCCCCTGCCTCCCCTGCACCCTGCAGTCTCAGACCCTCGCTCGCCCCCTTCTCAGAAGTCTCCCCACGATTCCAAGTCACCCCTGGATCACAGGTCTCCTTTGGAGAGATCACTAGAACAGAAAAACAACCCAGATTATAACTGGAATGTTCGGAAAACATAAAGGACAGCTGGGCAAGAAGGGGAGAGCAAGAGTCATTAAGCACCTGGATATTTTTGGTCTGATCCAGTAGGAGCCAGTTACCTAGACCAGCAAGCGGAGTTTCTGGACATGCTGCTGCTGTCAGCTTGCCGGTGGAAGGAGCACTTCAAGGAGTGGGGCCTTTCACTTGGTCCAGCTTGGGTTTGGGTCGCCACTCCTGCACTTTGACACCCCATCCCATTCCAGCCTGGTTCTGGCCTGTCACTTCGATGGGTGCTAGGAGGGAGAGGTGACTTTTGTGTATGTACCAGCTTCGTGGGCTGTGTTTCCCCAGGGAAGGAAGCCTGGGTGCGGTGGGCTGGGTAGGAGCGTGTGTGTGCAGGCTGCCGGGACCTGTTGGGACGGCACATGATTTGCTTCACTGTGATGTGACGGATGCTGCTGACGGGGAGCGGGGCGTGGGTCTCGCCAATGGGACTTGAAGGGGAGCAGGTACGCTCCTCAGACGTGTTCTTGGGAGAAACCGCACACTCGGGCCTCACCTGACACCTGTGTTGCAGGAGGACGGAGGGGAAGAGCTTCCGCAGCGGCCCCTTCCCGACCAACACTAATTTTTCCCACACTATCTGTATATTTCAGAGGCCTGGTCTCCGGAGTGGGCCGCCTCCGCCCTGGTGCCAGGGGAGTGAGCGCCCGTCCGGCAGACTCCTGAGTACTGTGAGTGGGGAAGCACTGGCCCTGGCGTGGGTCTTCCTGGTTGAGGGTGGGCTGACAGAGGGGCTGGGGTGGGGGCAGTGAGGCCAGGGCCTCGGATTCCCTGGTGGATTTCTGATCCTGGGGCGAGAAGTGTCAGTCCAGGGCCCGGCTGGAGGGGGAGGCTTGCTGCTGGCAGGTGCCCAGGTGCAGGTGAGGAGCGGCTTCTGGGGAGGGGGCTCTGGGTGTTGTGCCCGCTCCGCCTCTGCAGCTGCCTTGTAGTGACTTCAGTTCCCTTCGCACGGCGTGAATAAGTAGACGGCGCGGGGCACAACGTCTGCTGACCCGTGTGGCGGGTGGGCAGGTGAAGCTCAGTGACCTGTGGGGAACAGGCTTGTACGGCTAGTCGGGCATCAGTAGAATTCAACTCCGGTGTTTTTTTAGAATGAGATCAAAGAAAGTACAAACCTAAGTTAAAGTTTTGGCGAACTAGGAAGCCCCCAAGGACGGGGGACTGCGCCGACAGAGTCCTGCCAGGGTTGAACGGAGTCAGAAGGCAAGTTGGTTGCACCCAATTCATCAGGCTCCTTTCGTTCTGATACTGGGCCTTCCGTTTTATTCATTTTAGATATCACCAGTATTGTTTGAGTATCCAAAGGCCTTTCTGGATGGAATAACTGACTTGAACCTACACCGTGCCTAAATGTGTCCAGGCTCAGAGCTGGTGAAAACCTTCCCATTGGGCACACACAGGGTTAAACTCCCTGAACCAACCTGTGAGGACTTCATAAAATGATCATCACTTACTTGCCGGTACCCTGGGCAGCACCATTCATGCCTTTACTAAGAAATCCCCAAGTCCCGGCACCCCAGTGGAGCAGATGTGGCTTTGGTGGGTCATTGCTGCTTGCTGTACGCAGCATCCTGGGGCTGGCCGGGGGTGAGTTCCAGAGCAGAGTCTGGGTCCTCACAGCTTGTGTTGGGAGCTTAGTGGGCCTTGCCCCATCCTTACTGATCTCATGGTACTAGGGTTGCTCAGCGTGGGCTTGTAGGGGGTCAGCAGGCCTGGGGCACAGCCCAAAGGAATGCATAGGCGCCCCTGGCCACAGTCATCCCACTGTGACTGCTCGGGGAGAGCATGTGTCCGCTTTGGCCACCACCAGCTTAGCTTCTTGCTGACAGTACTGATGCCACCCTGTGTTTTCTTGCCCAGGCCGAAGAGGAAGGCTAGATTGGCTTGCCTGGCCCTTTGGGGTTGGGGGGAGGGATGAGCCCCAGCATGTCTCTCCCCTGGGAAGTCCGGCTGTGTCCTCTGGGAGGCGCAGCGTCCCCCTCCCCTTATAGGAGGCCCTGAATTTCAATATTCGGAAAGGGTGGTTTTCTCTGAGTTGGTAAGAGATGTGAGTTATTCCCAAAGATGTCTCATCATGAAGAAAAAGGAACTTCCTTTTGTTTACATTCAGGACTTTTAGTGCCATATGATGTAGCAAAAGGCAATATTCGCCAGATCAGTGTTAAATTGATTATAAAATTACAGTATCCCCGTAAAAGCAACTATTTTAGGTGTTGAAGTATGTTTGAAGAGTGGGTTGGGAAAAAGGCATTTCCTCATTGACCTGAATCAGTATATTGTATGCTTTTATCACAAACACATTTGCACAGGTAGGGATTCTCTCCCTTGTGGATGGGGTAAAGTGCCCCAGGAATCGGCGAGGGTGGTATTGTGCGGAGCCTGGCTTTGAAGGATTTAATGATTGGGTAGAAACAGCAGGGGTTGAGGAAGAGGGTGGGGAGTTAGCATCACCTGAGATCTGAGTAGAAATACCCTGCGCAAGGATGCCGTGAAAGTCCAGGCATGGCACTGTGGTCTTTTCAGAGACTGGAGAGAAACAGCTAGGCCCTCTGCAGAGCCCGATCTGATGTGCGCGCCCCCCTCCCCGCCCCGCCGCCGCCACCCCGGTCATTCCTTTAACCCTTCCACGGGAAACCAGAACACTTCTCACATCGTGCTGCAGACACTGTAGTCTGATGCCCGAGAGCTGCGTCAGGATGTGCGGTGCACACGCGATTCAGTTACGAATTCACACAGGGACACTGGGATCCTATAGACCAAAATCCACTCGTCAGCAGGAGCGGTGGCCCCGGGGCCCAGCGCCAGTGGTCTTCCGGCTTGTTTGGGGGCTGCCGTGTCGGGCGGGGAGAGCCAGGCCAAGGGTCCAGGCTGCTTTAGTCCGTCCGTACCCCACGCGTTTGGGGACGGGTGGCTTTTCTTTATTGTAAAATTGTGGACTTTTAAAACCTGTTGACTAAACAGTAATTAATTTATATTTGTGAAAAATGCCACTGTCCTAGTGATTTCTGATGTAAATAATGTTGTTTATATAGTATGTATTAAATTTTCCTACATTGTAAAACTGCTGTACTTTTGATTCTTGTATATTAAAAAGTGTTACTAAGGATTTTTAGAATCGGGCGAACACTGTTACATTGCGTGGCGTCGGCGTGAACTCTGACCGGCTACACCTCTGGCTGCTGCCTTCCCTTGGCCGCTGGGGCCTTCAGACTGCTTGCCGGCTTCTGAAATGGAGCCTCTTAAAAGTCTCATCGGTTTTCCTTCCGGCACCAGCGGTGGCGTTGGGCCTGGGACCTGGGGACCTGACCACCGCAGGTTTCTGAGATTGTCTGTGAGCAGCCCCCGCCAAGGGTAACAGCCCCTGGCCGAGCAGCTCGCGGGCGGGGTGAGGAGGGATGAGCCGGAGGAGCTGCTGCGGCCCCTGGTGGAGCAGAGCTTCCCTTAGCTTCCCATGTTGCCGGTGCCGGGGATGGAGCCCGGGAGCCCGGGAAGGTGCATTTGAAGACCCTTGTTGTCCCGCCCCACCCCCGCCATCCAGAGGAAGTGAGAACACCGTGTCAGCCAGCGCACTGCCTTGAGGGTAATTTAACAGTTGGGTTATATATTCACGAAGGGGGAAAAAGGCATTTTATAATGGAAACACTGACACAAATGTTAACTCTAGCAATTTGGCACAGGGGCAGGCCCAGCTCCTGCGAGGCCCAGACGGAGGAAGCGTGGCACAGCCCACGGGTGGAGATCCCGTCTGAGTACGAGTTGGAGGAGTTTGCCAGACCCAAGGGGTTTTGCTAGTACTTTGGGGACTGCAAAACCAAACTCCCATCTTTGCGAGGCTCTCAATTCTTGATACCAAATAAACCCGTGTGTTCACTCAGCTCCCGTGACCGTCGACCCCGGAGGCTTGGTGGCAGGGGCCCTCGCTCGTCCTGGTCTGGGCGGGAAGGAGAGGCTGGGATTCTTAGCGCCTAGAGTTCTTGAGTCAAAGACTCAAAGAAGAGTTGAGGGTTCTTCTCGCCGATAACTCGATAAACAACTAGCAATCGTGTTGCAACTCACAGCTCGGCTGGAACCGCTTTGGGAAACTTTAAAGCGCTGCAATAATCAGCTTATGATTTACAATAGCAACGCGGCTTCTAAACCCATGGCTGCCAAGAAGCCTGCCTTTTACTGGAAGAAGCAGGCCCAGGCCCCCTCCCTGCTCCCTGGCGGGGCCTCGCATGTCTGGCATCAAAGCAAGTCCTCCTCAATTAGCACCAACAGAAAGGTCACTTATTGAAACACAAGGCCCTGCAGTTTGCCAGACGGGTCTGGACTCGGGATTCCAACCTGTGGCTCTTAAAGGAGCAGCACCAGGTCTGCCTTCGAGGCCCCGTCTCAGCGCCCGCCCCGTGCCTTCCCTGCCCGCCCCGCACCTGCTCTGCCCGCCACACCTTGAGGCTGGAATCCCGCTCGGCCCGTCGCCTCCCAACCTGCCTATTTGTTCTGTTCTCTGCCTTGGGGAAGAGACAGAGCCCGACCCAATAAAAGCTCTTGGCCCCGTAGAAATCAGGCCCCTCGTGGTGCTGGGGGACCACCCCCCGCCTTAGGCTTGAGGGTTGGGTGTCTCCCGGTCGGTTGTGTGGCCCTGAGATCTGGTTTTGTGCGGGAACACGGGCGAGTCTGTGACCTGCAGCCTTTTCCCCTCAAAAGCAGGCAGAATATCCCCTGATTGGAGCCAGCTGCCCCAGGGAGGGCTCACACTTGGTATCTTTTTCTTAAAACTTCTTGTGAGGCAAAAGGGGATCGTCATTGCCACAGCGCGGTGTGCGCTGACACCGTGCACCATGGTGGCCTTGCGGGGGCCCGGGGGCCTACAGGGGGCTGGCAGGAAGGGCGTGCACTGTCTCCCTTCGGCCCCTCCCTGTGTGCGGTTGGGCAGGTGGCCTGGGCACCTTCATCTGCACATGAAGGAGCTGGCTTCTCGGGTTCACGTGGTTTTACCGGGAGAGCGCGGGGTTAAAGGCCTGTAACCCCCGCTACGGCCTGCGCAGAGGGAGACAGTGTTCACCAGTCCCTGCTGGGAGGGCGGAGGATGGGGACACTGAGGAGGGCACCTGCCCAGCCCGGAGGGCAGCCCCGGCTTAGCATTCAGCCCAGAACCTTCCGAGACCAGCAGGGCTGCTCCTCTTGGATCCCAGCTCACTGGAGGGGCCCAGCAAGAGGGCTCTCTCTAGGAGGAGATTAAACTCCGCTAGGAAGGCCCAGCAGGGAGCCCACAGTGCCGTGGGGACTAGACAGTCACGAGAGAGAAAGTTTTTCCCTTGACCAAGATCTTGAGCGCCTCCCACGGGCCAGGCCCTGTTCTGGAAGCTGGGGACGCACATTCGGCAAACCAGGACGAGGGCCCCACCCTCTGAGCTGAGGGTTGGCAAGGCACACCTAGACCCAACAACAGAAGCACAAAATGTCACTTAAGTGCCAAGAAGAGAGGAGACGGGCATAGGGACCGGGCGTCGGGGAAGGCATGGGTCTAGGAAGGGGACAGAGCTGGGTTTGAACCAGCTGGCCTTCTCGGGCTTACTGTCTCCCTCTGCGAGCCGCACCTACAGAAGTCGGATAAGCGGAGTTTGCCAGGCCCTGGTGGGGTGAGTGAGGTCACTGAGGGTGGGTGAGATGGGCTTGGCACCTGTCGTCCTTCTCAGAGGGCGGTGTTGAGACATCCCCAGGCCCAGCGGAGACCACTCCGGCCACCAGAGCTGGGGGCCTGCCCCTCGTGTTTGGAAGAGGGGCACTTAGTTCCCATCCCTTCCCGGACTGAGGGTCCTGAGTGAATGTGGTTCTGGAATCTTCCTGCAGGGGGCAGCAGATTTCCACAAATAGCTTGCCTCGCCGCCAACACTTAAGTTTACACAACCCCCCGGCGAGGCTCCCCGTCACTCCTCTGGCCTGGCGGGCCGCCTCCCTTGGCCGCAGAGCGCACGCGGGAGCCAGGGGCGGGGAGCCACCTCACCCCTGCAGGAAGTGTGACAGGGGATGGGGGAGAGGAGAGGCGGCGGGACGAGGCCAGCCTCACCTGCTCCAGCCGCAGGAGGCCCGGGGGGCGGGGCTGACCGGCTGTGGCCCCGCCCTCTCCGTCCAGGCGGCCCCAGATTCACTGACACAATGGTCGGGGGACGCGCGGGTTCCTGCTCCTTCGGGGTCCGGCCTCGCCCCCCTCTGCCCTCCGTGTGGCCGCCAGAGGGACGTCCTGAGCCACAAGGCCCAGGCACCACTGCAGCTCCCCCGACCCTCCGCTTAGCACTAAGCTCCCTGGCTTGGGGCCAAAGCCCTCTGTGCCCTGCCCTTGCTGGCCACTCTCCGGGAGCCCCCTAACTGCTCTTGCAGCCTCTTGCAGATACTCGAGGCAGAGCTTGGCCTCCAGGCTGCGGTCCCTCTAACCCCTCCATCACCTCCCCCCGGCCTGACGAATCTCCTTCATCTCCAAGATGCAATTCAAGCGTGGTTTCCTCTGAGCAGCCTTCTCGGCCCCTGCTGTTCCCGTTTCCGTTCCCGTCTGTCCCTGCCCTGTGCCCACAGATGCCATCAGAGTCCCGGCCCACCCTGGTGCCTCCACTTTGTCATAGCTGTGGCCTCCGCGTGGGCCGTGTGGGGGCTGGGCTTGGAGCCTTGTCTTGTGAGATGCCCAGAGAAGGGGCCCTGGGGGGCTGAGCAGGCGGGGGCTCAGACCAGGGTTTCCATTTTGATGAACATTTTAAAGAAGTAATTTCAGCAAACCCTGGATCATTTGGAAGAGTGGGAAGGAGAAAAGAACCCAGGACTCTAGGGATGTATTGGAGCCAAGGGGTCAGTGCTCCTTACCCAGGGGGACAGGGGGACGCACGACGACAGGTTTCACAGGGTCCAAGGAGTGGAAAGTAGAGGGGACCTGAGTCACTCCCTGGCACCAGTGACAGGGGCCTGGGCAACCCCACCTTTGTCACAAGGTTTTGCAGTTTTGTTTGGGCTTGATTAGTAAATGTGTCTGGGTTTTATGGTTGAAAGGAGCTATAATTACAATTTATTACAATTAAGAATTTATATTTAGCCTAATGAATTATAAAAAGTCCAGCCATGGAGGGAGGGCCTGGAGAAATATTGGCCCCTGGAAGGGGTCTGAACGTTCGCCAGGTATGTTTGGGAACCCGGAGCTGTTCGTGGCCTAGACTTGAGAGTAAATGAAGCCACCCGGGGGGACGCACCTGTGAGCAGAGACCACCATCTGCTGATGGCTACTGGGGGTCGAGCTCTGGGCCCGGCCCACTGCTTTCTTATATTTTAATAATCTCGTCTTCATGAAATGCTGGGAGGCCCCAAGACTTCAGGTCACACAGCCAGGCGAGTGTTAGAACTTGGACTCCACCCAAACTCCTCCCACCTCTCAGGGCCACCCTGTCACTGCCTCCTTCAATGGATGCCTCCACCGTCACCCAAGCACCTTTGCACCCCTGTCATCGTGTTCTGGCAGGCCCTGTGACTCTGTCCTAATCCTTCCTGCAGGGGTGAAGTGGGGGATGCTGCCGTTGTCCTGTAATGCCCAGGGGAGAAGGGCCCTGGCCCTTACCTTGGCATTTGGTTTCTGGTGGCCCAGGCCCCCAGCCCTAGACCTGAAGGCCACCCAGGAGCCCTGCGAACCAAACCCCCTCTCTTGGATGGAGCCTGGGCTTCAAGCCACCCGAACTCCAGGAGGGAGGTGGCCAGAAGGGGGCTCCACCATGATAAATCAGCACTTGGATCAAATACTTGGCAGGGTGCCTGACACATGGCAGGTGGCCAAAAAATGTAGCTGTCATGCTGGGGTGACTCCAGTCTCCATTAAAAGGGGGGTGGGGTCTATAGCAGCAGCTGGATCATGTCTGGGATTGCTGAGAAGCCTTGTTCCCCCACCTGGGGAAGCTGATGACCACCCCTGGACCATGCTGACCCACTCTGGTGCTGTCTCCTTCTGGAACCCTAAGCCTCTCAGACTTCAGATCTGAGGGATCCTCTCTCCCATCCTTCCTCTCTTCAGGGTCCAGGTTTGAAGTCCCTCTACCCACCCAGCCTCCCGGCGGGGGTCTGGCCTCACTCCCTGCTAACCCAGGACCAGAAC